TCGAAAAGACCTTGGGGGTCCTGTTAAACCGTTTTACAATATTATTATTTTATATTTAATTAACACAATACCACTTTGTTCGGTCGGTCATTTGCATCGTCGAATGAATTCCCGGATTTCCCAGACATTAATACAATTTATACTCGTTCGAATAATAACATTTTCAATTGTTATTGTAATTGTTTTTGTTAAATTTTACACAGTCAAACGTTTACCATATGAACAAACGCGTCATGTAAGACACACACCTGTCTGTTTAAAAGCGAACAACATATTATACGTGCTTCCTACTTGCAACTGCAAACAAACAAATACGGTCCACATGTAAACCATAAGCTAAATGACTCGAGTCACTATTATAGAATTTAGGGTAAACTTTTTTCTACACTAAAAACTTTGGAATTGAATAATAGTGAAATTGTTTTTGGTGTAGAAAAAGTTGACCCAAATTATTTGTACTTTTCAAGTTATGAATTGGACGAAAAATTAATTTCTTTATTTATTTCTAAAATATAATTATGATAAAATATTAACGTAGAAGGCATTAATGTCTTAATGACAGAATCAAAATTAAAAAAAACCATAATGAGCTTGGTAAAAGAAAATTAACACTGTGTCTTATGTAATATACTACAAAATGGGCTATTAAAAAATAATTTGCTTTATAAATAAAATAATGTTTTGTTCTAATTTAAAATGTATGTGTTGTTCAATGTCACATGTCAACGTTATAATATGCCGATGATATATTTTTATCACAAACAGAATATTATAAAACATAATATTTAGTATATTTATTTAATTACACATCCTCGCCAACTTTTGGTAACAGGCCAGCTGTAAACAAAAAAAAAATTTATCTCTAAATTCTATTTCATTAGTTTGATGAAAAGTACCTTCGTATAGAGTTATATTATATTATAATAGTTATGTTATCTAGATATTATCTTAAGTTTGTTAAAATGATTTCATCGATTCTAAAAGTATCTTACCTACAAGAGTATAAAAAAATAACATCATTGTAAAATCTCTGGTTCGCATCATCAAAGCTACAACAATAGTTATTAGGCCACGCAATAAATAAACAAAATCCGTCAAAAATGTCAATAATAATTAAAATACACATACTTAGTTTACATAAATTTTATTAGAATGACGCCGAATAGCACTTGTTGTTTATTGTAATAAAAGCTGTAATGTTTGGCGTTTGTTTAAGTAAATAGTTTGTTTGAATTCATATAATTAAAAATGATTATATCCATTTGAGTGCGGTAATGAATTTTTTGTTGAATATTAGTTTAACAAATGGCTTCATAGATATATTATTATGATGTCCACAGATATATATTAGATATATATATATATAGCTACATATTTATTTAACTCAACATACACATTTTCTCTTAAAACAATACTGCAATTTTGTAGTTTTTCATTTTAGAAACATTTTAGTTGATATTATTTTACAGTATCTCATTAGATGTATCCTTATACATTACTATTTACGTTTAAAAAGTTAATAAAACTCTAAAATAGTATAAAAATTTGATTATAGGTTTAAAAAAAAAATTAAATATGTTATAGGAGGGACACACTAGAATTACACACAGTCTAATTTTCGGAACTAAAATTCAAAAATTAGGCATAGGAAAGTGTAATTTAGGAAAACTTTCCATCCCTTATACAAAAAATGTTAATTTTTTATAGTTTCGAATGAAAGTATAAAAATGAAAACACTTTATTATGAAAGCCTTTTAATGAAATTATACTTAAAATAAATTTAAGTTTAAAATAATAATGGCTATATCAATAGTAATAAAGCATTGTATTTAAACATTTGTATTTACGAGAAATTTAAAATTGTGTTATATCACATTCTTTTTTTTTTTTTTGTAGTTTTATGTAATAATTTTTACATATTATGTGTAATATACACATAACATAATATTTAGTTAATAAATACTTTATGTTTTTTACTATCTCTAAATAACGTTCCATGAAAAATTGCAACTAATTCGACTAGTTTGAAAAGAGTGCGCGGGTAATTTTAAGTTGAATAATTTTAGGCGTTTATTTTTTTTAATTTTAAAGGGGAAATAGTGTTATTTCAAAATTGTTCAGCCAAACAAAGCACCTTTCAGGTACGTTTTCCGATGCCTATCTTCTGATTTAGATCCGCATCGAAGGTAAAATTTACAAATTTAAAGTTACCTATTCAAAATTATCGTTTTCCGCGTGAACCTATTACACAACAACGGCCACACATGTAATAATAATATATATACAACAAAATTTATTACATTTTGTGGTCCTTGGACTGTTCAATGGCGATGATTGATTAAACGCCCGTTACCGTACAACAGTTGCCGGACAATATTAGAACAAAGCACAATACCAGAACTAGACCTACCCTTTTGAATCCGACCAGACTTGGTTGCTGGTTAGGTTTCCTTGGCGGTGTGTCGACCTTACAGTAAGTTTTGCGGATGTACCCTTGGGACGAGGTAGTATATATATATACATTTGACAGGTATTGTGAAGTTACAGACTGACAAGCGCAGCAACTTTTGAGTCAGTTGTGCCCATTGACCGAAAATACAACAACAATACTATTGGTTTTTTTTTGTCCACATATTTTACTCTGCCAACTAACCCCGCCGTTAAATGTGAAGGCTGTCGTTAAACAGTTTAAATGTATGATATAATGAGCAAACAAAATAAGAAAACCAAACAAAAATATAATCTGACGCTAACGATATTGTACAAGCCGTCAAGGTCGTCAAGACAGCAGCTGGGTTCTTGCTGTTGATTAGGTACAGATGAATTATAACCTATTATTGATATTATTCAGACGGACAATAATAATATTATTACACGTTAAACAGACGATGGTAAATAAGTTATCACTGTTGTTGCGTATATTAACGATTTAACAGACAAAAATATCTTACAAGTCATTCGGTAAAATTTTCATGTAAATTCCGTGCAACGTTATGGGTCGAGTGTGTTATAAAAAAAAAAAATTGCATGAAATCTATACAATACAAAATTGATATAGTATATTAACGCACTTATAACGTATATATACACACCCAATTTTTTCATACCTCTCCTCCGTTCGCCCGTTCGGGTGTCGCAACACATTTAATTTGACTTAACGAATTGCATTCACACATCAACGCGCCGTGTATACAATACATAGTATTATATTATTGTTTATACCTAACAATGATTTTGGGGGTTGCCGGCATAGTGGACCGAATAGATCACATTAATATACAGTTACAGAATGCAGATACGTTTCGATCAATCAATCTCCAACGCAGCCGCCAATTGAGGACCATAACATATTTGTATAGACAACGATTTCCTGTGTCTGCTATGGAAATCCAATTGAGTTAACCTGAATCAGGGTTTGAAAAAGTCTTCAAGTCAAACTACAAGAACAAACTTACATTCAACTACGTTGAACAAAAAACTACTATCGACAGCACAATAGTCAAATAGCTTAACTGATTTTGAATTTTTGTTGTAGTTATAACAAAGTATAGTGTACATTTTGGCTTAAAAACATTTTCAATTCCTGGTTCCAATTATTATTATGCGAATGGGATGCTTGGATTTAAAGCTCAACGAATTTGTGTCGCATAGCTATTGTAATAGAGATTGAGAGAAGTAGTGTGAGAAGTACTCCATCTAGGCACACTGTAGAAATTTATGGTAGCACTGAAAGTTGTATCAAGTTAGAAGCAAAGGGAATACAGAATTTCAATATAATTTGAATTACAAATCAATACGTGCCGAATTGAACTATTGCCTGTCGGTAATAATAATAATTAGTAACGTAGGAAATTCGATTAAGTCGTTGCATTTTTAATAGTACCCAATCAGTATGCTATAATGAATACAGCCGTCTTGGTTTTTGTTGGGCTTTACGGCGTGGATGGTTGACAAGTGCTGGCAATTGGAACCGCATCGACCGCACCGACCGCAATAGCAATTTAGTGTTTAATTCTTAAAAAGTAAACGAACCGATGTCGTAAATCCCACTGTTAAAAATCATAATGATCGACGAACAGCCGTAGGAATATCATGTCAAGATCGTTTCAGATCGTTTGTGTAAATCTGTATACCTGCCGATGAATTATTCTTGGTAAGTCAACATTTTGAGGAACTATGACATTATATTCCTGCGACACTAGACTTCCGGATATTACTTAAGATCACCGTTGCGGGTTCGACAATATACTCAAGTGTTTCACATAGCTACAAACGACCTTATTAACGACATTGTTCACCGCAAAAAAGTGTCTATCGTTCGATGTATTAGCTAATAACGATTTCGCAGTCTGTCGCAAATAATAATATATTCCTTAGTTAAATAACGTAGACGACATATTAAATTGAACGTTCTTTGTGCACGGCACCTAACCAATACATTAGGCATGTTCAGACCGTAGTAGTCATCATATTTATTATACACCAGTCTGGTGTGCAAGTCAATATAGTTGTCATACGGCAAATCGACGACCGTTTAAGTCTCTTAAAAAAAAAACCAAAATGGCAATCAGGTAATCGGGTTGTACGAGATGTACATCATTGGGTCAAGTGCGTTTGTATTTTGGACTGCGGTCGATTCGGTTACGGCAAAGTCGACCGAGCCGAACCGAACAATATCAGCAATATTAACAACAGTGTTAATTATTGTAATTTTTTACAACGGCGATAATTGTAATTTAATATTAAAAAAAAAAAAAATAATAATAACCGTCGTTTTGCTTGTAATAATCGATTAAGACGGTTGGACAACAAGCGGTTAGTTTCACGGTCACGCGGCACTTGCACACTTCCGAATAGAAAGTTGAAACGGGTTAAACGCAACTTGTGACACTTGTGCTTGTTGGGTTCCATCATTGTGTTATTGGTAAATAATTGTGAACAGGCGGGGGAAAAAATATAATAGGTGTTCCACTTGCTGAAATGTGTTGTTTCTTTTTCAGGGATGGAACGATCTTAGCTTCCACGGTTCAGACCAAATTCCAACGCCCAACCTTGACGCACTGGCCTACCACGGTATCACGCTGAACAACATGTACACGCAGCCGGTATGTACGCCTTCCCGGGTTGCCCTGATGACCGGAAAGTATCCAATCAAATTAGGTAATGCAAATTTATTTTTCCTCGAATATTTTCGGGTCTGAATAGGTGACATCTCAGATGGCAGATACACCGTGTTGTATCAGACTTCTTCTAGTCTAAAAAACGCCCAATCCCAAATAGGTCGAAAGAAAAGAAGTCCGAAACAATCAGTAATTTGTTTTATACTATCAAATAACGGCCAACGGGCACAAATCGACAGACAATAAGGGAAATCATAAACTAATAATTTTTTCTATTTTAATTAGATATTAATTGATATGTTTAAATAATCTACTCGGTTGGGCAATTTTAGCTTTGGATGTTTCTCGCCATAAGTATTTTTACGAAGCCAATTTTCTTCTTTTTTTTAGAATTTTAAGTAAGTACGATTGGCCACTGTTCGAATAATTTTAATCAATCAAACAGAATATTATTCAATTGAAAAATAAATGATGGCTATTCAAATAGAAAACTAGTTAGAACACTAGGTTTTTTCGAATAATTGTGTTATTAGTTTATTTAAGTATGATAATTTTTTTTTAACCATAAACATTTTTGATACGTTTATTTATTGTTCAATTGACAATATCGCTATTAACTTTCAATTCTACTTAAAATTATTCTAATAGGTTGTTGTCTTTTTACTTCAATTGGTACGTTATTCGATTTGATTTAGTATTTTTTTTATGCAATTTTAGTCTACTCTGATTATAATCACGCGATCATTTTTCAAAAATTTATGATTTTTTACAGTGTATAATTTAATATTAATAATTCAGATAGGAAAGTTTAACCTTTATGTGTTGTACAATGTTAAATGCAAGGTCCAGATAAAGTAAAGAATAATAAATTTAGTTTGAATAATTCGGTATAATATAAAATTCCACATAAATTACTGTTGAAAACCATGAAAAGGAAAGTTATATTACAACCATCAATATCATCCAATAAACCATCAAGATCTATTGGTCTGATTTTCAAAATTATCGTCAAACTAAACATATTATCTTATTAATACTGTAAAGTTCCAAATACAAACATGGTACATTCAGAGACTTGGGCGTTGGGTCACGGTCATTGGTTGTTATTATATTCTTCTGCTTCTTCGAGGACCTCAGCGTTAAAGTTTTCATAGTTCAACGTGGACACGGTCTCTGACAGAGCTTCTGGTCGTTGGTGTTGTTCGTCCATTGCTTCTACGCTTCCTTGTTCAATGGCACCGTGCTCATCTATTTCGCCGTACACGCCTTCGCCTAATTCGTGCATAAACGACAACTCGGTGTTTGCGCTTAGTATATCTGCCATGACCGCAAGATCATCTTGACTTGAAACAGAACTGCCCGAGCTCATAAACGAAGTGTATTCAGCGTAATTAGCGTCTCCTTCGCCTTCTCCTTCACCTGGAATACGCACCGGTAGTCGTTTATTTACCTCGTTATTGTATATTTATACAATACAGTCACATAACCCGTTCGGCTCATAGTTCATTAGCAAATAGTCTAGCACGTCAACCTAATAGATTTCCTTACTAAGACCTACTAGGATATTCTGTTTAGGTTTTTTTTTTTTAAATCAGGAGTCATCACGTTGTCTCTAGGAAACCCTTAAAATAAATTGCAAGGCAACGAGAAGTTAACCTGCTGTGTTCCTCTTGCGACTACCCTTTTGCATTTTCAAGCATGCCTACCACATGTACATAAAACAGCTAGATGGATGCTGAAGTCAGCCCGCAAAGACGAGCTATGTTGACATTGCCAACCGACTTCAGCTGGTAACACTAGTCATAAGACCTTTGGGTTACAATGAGGAAAATAAATGACTCACCGGCTTCTCCTTCTTCTATGTACTCATCGTAGAAGCGCGACGATTCCAAAGATTTGACCGACTCCAAATATTGGAAGTTCTTAGCGTATATCGCTTTAAGTTGTTTGATTTTGGCCTCTCGTTGCTTATACCGCCGGTCGTCTTTTTGTTTGTCTCTCCGACTTTTCCGGTCCGGTTTGCTTTTGACGACTTGACCTTCTTCGACGTGTTTCTCAGCAAATTGTTTTCGCATCGCACTGTCGGTAAAGCACAAAATCACAACGTTTTAAATATTCGTACGACTCACGAATTGTGGATCTCTACACGCTGTCAGTCATCATCATGCAAGCTTAACAGGCGACTGTTCGTTAATAATTATTGCATACCGAATGGTTGTGTTCCTTGCGCGTGAAGGGTCGTTTATGTTGTCTCTGATTTCCCCCTCGGCGTTATCGATTACCTGAGCCCAGTCTTCTTGTACGATTCTGAACGGATGGGACTCGATGTACTCGTCTAATGCTTTCTCTTCGTTTTGGTATTCCGTCGTTATGAGTTCGCGAAATTCGTCAAATGTCTTAGTGATTCTTTCCAAGTTTTCGTTTATTTTAAGATCGTGGTCGAAACTCTGTGATTACAATAGCCTCGTATAAAGCTAAGCGAAATTGTCTGATGGATTTTGAAAGCGGTTTACTCACAAAGTCGACGGGCGGTTCTTCGGTTGGCAACAGTTTGTTTACTATGTCCCTGAACGCCCTGTCCGCCGCCAATCTCATCAGTTCCATTTCGTGTTTTATGTTTTTTTTTCTCTCCGCCTCCTTAAGAATCGGATCGATAAACTCTTCCAGCTGTTTCTTATTCCTGCGCTTCTTGATCATCATGGCCTCCAGCATGTGACGCCGTTCGCGTTCCATAAAAAGTTCTTTCATTTTTCCCAAACGGGTTTGCGGACCTCTCCGATCCATATACCAACTATTAGTATAGTATACACGAAATTATTAACTATCAACGCGAACCATAATAAACCCGTTCATTTATATACTTGAATGCTTCGTCGCAGATCTTTCGCCTAATTTGTTCCGGCGTAAGTGGTTCGGGTTTGACTTCGACGGTATCGACTATTGGAATTTCCACGGATTCGTAGTCTTCGACGTTGTTTTCTCCCAACGAACCGAACTCTTCTTTGTACTTTTCGTTCCACGAGTTCAGATCTCTTCTCCTTTCCGCTTCTTTGTCAAACAAACGGCCGACCTCTACGACATCGGCCGGGTCCGACTTGGACGCTTCCATGCTGAACAACCGCACCGCACCCGTGGTATCGGAGAAGCAGATCACCTCGTATTTTTCCCAGTCGACGAGTTCGCTTATTCCCTTGGAACTTTTAAACTTTTCGGTACCGAGGAAATGCACTTTCGGGAACGGGCCGGACAGCGCTGATGAAAATTAAACCGGAAATGTGTTATGCCATTTAAAATAAAAAAACACCATTCGGCCTTACTGGTGATGGCTCCGTCGCTGAGGACTTCCGATATGAAAAACGCCTTGTGGGCGTGCAGCATAAAATCCCAAAACTCTACCACTCCCGTTTCGAAACATATTCGAAATTCTCCCGCCTGAATGCTAGACCAAATGCCGCCGGTAGTGTACTCTCGAAATCGATTCCACCACAACGGACCTTCCTAATTCAAACACAACACCTTCGTCGTTAACTGCCCGACGAGAAAATTACAAATATTAACGCTTAAATTTTACATGATAGTCCAAGCTCCAAACGGACACAATATGGCCGCCACAGACCAGATGGATATTCGGTAAAAACGGATTCCGCTTTATGCAGTTTATCGGTCCGTCGTGTACATACCGCCACCAAATAGTTTTTGCAACTAAGATAAGTAAGAAGAGATTTTAGCGCCAACTCGGCAATGCGTCGAGTCTTCGACTTTGATACTTTACCCTCTTGATTGTGATCGCGGTGGTAATTGTCATAACCGTTCCATGTAATCAATCCTATTTGACCCATCATACTACCGACCACTATACGCTGATTTGGTTCTTCTGATAATGGCGAAACTTCTACAAGCAAATCGAAACATCTATTAAATTAGATGAATATACTGAACTTGAGCTTTTTTGTTTTCTTCGGTTACCGAATTCATATTGTCGTTTTCCAACTGTAAGTGGCTGATCGCCCGCTATGTAATTGTATTTCATCAATGGGATTTCAAAAGAAAACGTTGTTATTGGCGTGTAAATACTTTTCCCTGGCTCCATAACCTTTATCTAAAAACACATATCGATGGTCGATATCATTCATACAAATTTGTTTAAAAAAAAGGTTTTTTAAGTAACTGCAAATATAGGCTTCTATGATACGTGCTGATTGAAAAATGTTCTGTTGACTACTAATCTAAATTTGAAATTTTACAGCTTGAGTCGTTTTGCAGGCAAAAAAACTGTTTTTTAAGTTGTGTACACATTTATAGACGCTATACCTTTATCGGTACAAAACTTATCATTATAAACAACTTCATTAAATTAGCTAATAGGTCTATGGAAATTGATTCAGTTCAAACCGTGTACGTTGGTTCCAAACGATTGTTGTAAATGGCCAATGGTGATTTATGTATATTTAAGTTTTCGGGGTACCCGAAACGTGGTTTAGGCATATTCATTGGTTTCTGTTTGGATTTCGACACTGGTTTCGAATGCAAGTCCCATAGTTTTAACGTCCCGTCCATGGAAGACGTTAAAAATTGCTCTGACAACCCATCGCGAGTTATCCCGAGTTTGCCCAATCCAGTCATCTGCGTGTATCGAATACGATCGTTTAAACAATAGTTAGAACAAAAGTGTAGACTTAGATTGGACTAGGACAAAACTATTGACTAGAACGAACCTCGGTCATGGGATTTAGCCATTGAATTGTGGTTACTATTGATGTGTGCGATTCCAGTATGGAACTCAACGCCGTGGGTCTGACTCGAGATTTGTACTCCACGTCCAAACACCAATGCATGTAAGCTTCCTAATGAATGTCGATTACATTTGTACAATTTGCATCGAATAAAAATTTAATCTTACCAGATGTTTGCGATGCATCTTGACTTTTTCGGACATGGCCGCATCGTACATATTCCTGTCTTCTAATTTTCCAGTTATGTCCCACAGGCATATCTGTCCGTTGACCAGACCACCTACTACCGTGTTGCCGTTTCTCGGGTTGAACTGGATACACGCCACTTCTTCGGGAGAGTCCAATCGTAACTTGTATAATAATATATTATCATCAAATATTATAATTAAGAAACGAGGTGGTTAGCGGTGAAAAATAATGCATCGTTGAAAATTACCATGGGGAAGACATTGTTGTCAATCGACCAGATGACCACAGGATTGTTTTGTTCTTCCACTAACGGCCTTTCTTCTCGGATGGTTCTCGATTCTTCTTCGTTCATAATCGCTTTGTACACTGGCTTTTGTCTGGCCGACGGTTTCTTTTTCTTCTTTTTGTTCTTCGATTCCGGCTGCTTTCGGTTGATTCGACCGACATTTTCTCCTGCATGCGCCATGTCTTTAGCCAATTGTTTTCTTTCATCTTCCAATGTTTCTGCTCTGATCAACGGTAATTATAATTAAAATGCAATTACCCAATTCGGCCGTGTTAATCATATATTACATACTTGACTTTCCTCTTCGTATACATTGGTTCGGACATCAGCATCTGAAACAGTTTGTCTTCCTTGGCTCGGCGATCATATTTCTTACTGAAATCCCTATGAAACGACGTTTATCTATATAGTTATAAATGTACGCATTACACGCAAGTCCTCTTACACGTCTAGTTAAATAGGAAATAAAATATACACACAGTATAGGCTATTATGGTACCTATGTATTTTCCTAACCGTATTCCTCAGATTGTTTCCGTACACCCAATCCTGGTCTTCACCCCAAATGTGGAAAAAACTATCCGTGTCCGAATCGTGTGCGTCCGGTTCGTCTTTGTCTTCCGGCTCGTCTTCAACAGTTTGCGTAACGCCTTCGGCAGTGGTGGTGGAATGTTTTTCGGTGTCTATGTGTTTGTGTGACAATTCAAGATGATGGCGGTCGTCGGTCGGAAACCCGTATTCGTCCATTTCGAATTCGCCCTCGTGCCCTCTAATGGATTCGCCCAGTAACTGATATTTTCCGCTGCTTTCGGTCCGTGGTGGTAGGTCACTGGCGTTTTCGTCTAGCATTCCGTTCTCTTCGATCTCGTCATGGAGATTTTCCGACAAATCCAGACTACTTACCGTGTCCACGCGGGACGTCGTACGTCTGTGGTATCTAGTCGGCTTTTGTACTTCGGCTACAGCGGGCTGTATATCCTTGTAGGGAACGTAAACGAACATTTTCCGCACTTCGGCCAACGAGTCGTGGACGGGTTGATGGCCGTGACGCTCGTAGTCGACTATCTGGATGGTTCGCATGCGCTAGAGTGAGCAATTGATGAAAACACACGGTCGTCAGCACACGGTGAACATTTTTCCGCATCCGTACTTACCTGTATGTACTCTTTGTTCAACAACATCTTTATCTTGCCGTCGTAATTGTCCGCCGTCAGTATGGACTCCGGTTGGACTTCCTTGGCGAACTGCTCGTTTTCGTCATCGCTGTACACCACTCCGTACTTTTCTTCTTTGTCCGCATGCACATTGGTCACGTTCTCGTCGGGTTCGTTCAGCTTGACGGTCTTTTGCAACACGTAACTGTTGTTCGTGTAACATATGGCGTAAATACCTGCAAACACCGACAAGCCCTTTTTTTATTATGCCACCCTATCTACCGCGGTTTCCATCGCACACACCGTCTGTTGTTCCGTACCTGGTATGGTGGGGTGCCACGAGAAACAAGACACGTACCGTAACGGCGTGGTGTTGCGGAATCCCAACTGGGCGTTCAGGACGACCGACCTTTGTTTGATGGACTTTTTCGATTGGTTTTGCAACATTGTGTAGTCGTCCCGGTACAAATCGTACACTTCGTTGTAGTGTAACTCCGACGTGAGGCTGGTGAACCATAGGGAAAACTGTGTTAGGTTAATAAACATTTCATTCTGACTAGGTGAGTAAGTAAGTACTAGGGAACGTATTTGGCGAAAAACGCTTCGATGTATTTATTGCTTTTGGTCAGCCACTTCGGTTGAAACATTGGCTCTTCCACCGCCACCGATTGAAAGCCCTTGCTAACTTGTATCCTAGGTATCGTTTGCATTTCTCTGCTGACTGTCGCGTTCACGGCCTATGTTAAAATTATAATTAACTCGGTCGTAAAGCGAATTACAATAGCTGTTATTACTTGGATCCCAGTTTGCGACATTAACATTTTTTCACTTTTGAATTCGTCTTTCGACCTCGGTTCTATTTTTACGTATTCGTTGAACATTTTCTTCGGAATTGATTCCTCGAACTCGGCTTTTGACTGAAGCCTGTCAGCGGGAATCCTCCACAAGTATTTCATCTGTAAAACTTCTGTCCGATTATATTTTCAAACAATTTAAGCGCACCACTAACAATCTATACGACGTTTGTAAAGTCACGCCTACACCAACGTTTTCAATTATTTTATTATAAATACCTTTTGCCGATCTGGCATTATTTTGGTGGCCGATATCTCCTGCTCGCTACCGCGTGACACCCAAGTACCCGGAGTGCGATTCATGGACCGTTCTACCTTCTCGGTCATCTCGCGTTTCATAAGCGCTTGGTTCTCCTCTATGTTTATTCTAGCACTGTCCGTAGTGCATATGAAAAATTCTTCGTCGGTATTGGTAAACGGTTTGTAAGCGACCAGCACGTAGTCGTTTTGAATATGCTATATGCAGGGTGTTTAAAAAAATCGAAAACGGTCAATTTTTAGAGCCGTTATTGATTATTTTTTCTTCAAATTTTGACTATTGGATGTTGATAGGTGTTATTTTTTATGCACATTTAAGGCTTAAATCCAAAATCTTACCTTAAGTATTTTGCGAACGCGTATTATAAACTTTTGAAATTTAAACGGCATATTTGAACCCCCATATTTTTTTAGATATTCTGTTAGATTATTAATTTTTTAAAAATATGTTGGTAAAATTTTTAATTTCTGCCAAGTAGTTTTTGTAATATTATCGCTCAAAAATGACAAGATTTGACAATTTCATGCTTTTTGAGAGTGCCAAGCTTCCACTTGACTGGGCTGACAGGTTAATATATGGCAATTATTATGAGTTCATATCCTATTAGGCCACAGGGAAAAGATTCGAACCGATGTTCTTTCGTTGTGTAACTAAAGCATTGAAATGCGGCATTAGCGTTTCCAAAAAATATTATTTTTTTAAACCAATTTCCAAATGGTAATTAAAGCTTTTAATTCAATTTAATTGGAGATTTTTTTTTTTTAAATTCATAGTTCAGATATTAAGTTACACATCTGATAATGTAATTTAAATGTGCATAAAATAACATCTATTAACATCCAACAGTCAAATTTTGAAAAAAATCAATAACAACTTTAAAATTTGAACACCCTGTCTAACAATAATAATAACTAAACATGTGGCATAAGCAAAAGCATAAGCAAAACTAGTCAGCAACCTATTGCGACCGCTTGCTTCATTGGAAGAGCGTTAAAAATGCAAAATATATTATGTTTCAATACTTGAATCTAAAAAATTTGACTTCGTTGATTTTAAGTATTTGCAATAACAGTTTTTGGTGACGTGTTACAGACCTATTAACAACGGACTTACCTCAAGACTTTTGCGAAACGGCCAAAAACATGATTTATGATGTCGAGTTTCTATGTCTTCCATGATTTTTGTATAGGAAATTTGTGCCCACGGTGTGTCTACAAATACATGTTTACCCACAACACACTGAAACTTCTCTTGCTCGTTCGTCGGTATGGTCATAAGTTTTAAACCATGTTCTTTTGGTTTAATCGTCGATTCTTCTATACAATTTTTTAAAAAAATTTTAGTCGCATTTTACAAATAGTACGTTGGTTACAGTCTTACCGCTAATTAATCGACTTTCGGTTTTATCAGTTGCGGAGGAATCTACTGACTCTTTACTGATCTCAACAATAGTACTTGGCGCTTTTGGAGGCTTTTGCGCTTTTTTCTTTTTTGGCGGCATTGTTCATACAATATCTGGTCGCAGTTATTTTTAATAAAAAAAAAATAATGTGAAATGATAAAAAGAAAATAATCTACTACTAGCACCGATACACTGTAAATTGAGGTGTAAATGTTAAATAACTATTCATATTAAACCCCCTTTAAGTTCTAAGAAAAATGGATGTGTCCGAATGCCTGTTAACACACTACAAAATGTGGTGTTTATACAATATTAAACTCACTTACTTATAGCTCGGTAATAAACGTATTCAAACTATTGAATAGGAAACAAATTGTTCAAAACCAAACTAATTAGTAAGAAAACGACAAAAAAATTATTATGTGTTTTTGTTAGCATTGTTTCCATAGTTATCGCGCTGACCAATGTTGTCTGTTTTGATAACGGCCATTGTTTTTGCTATTTTGGGGCTATTGTTAAGAAAACAATTGCTTTCGATTATTCTGGAATACATTTTTCCATAACGCTAAAGCTTTGATTTTCTAAAAATGTTCGAGCAACAAGATTAGAGTCGATAAAGGCCAGAAAAACGGTATACAGAATTTCTTGGTTTGTACCACAGTACCAACACAAACAAGAAGTATTGGCGTTATTATCCATAACGGTTATGAAATTAGGAGTCTGCGTACAATGTCATGTTACAATACATTATAATATTATTAGGTATAATATATGATATGTAGGTACGGATGGAAAGTATTCATGTAACATTGACCGTACGTTTTCCTCCGAGTGGTCAGCGCCAACTAGCGCGTGACATAATGTATCATTTTTTTTTTCTTTTCCTTTTTCTATAGCGATAATTTCCATATAAATGTCAAACTATACGCTGTACGCATAATAATTATGTTTGACGGATGTCGCATTACAGGCATGCAAGGACCGCCGACCTACGGAGCCGAACCGAACGGGCTGCCGTTGACGGAGAAACTGTTGCCGGCTTACTTGAAAGGCTTGGGGTACTCGACAAAGGCGGTAGGGAAATGGCATTTGGGATACTACAGGAAGGCCTACACCCCGACCCGCAGAGGATTCGAATCGCACATGGGATACTACACCGGATACGTTAGCTACTACGATTACATACTTCAAGATGTAGTGAGTAATACAATATTGGTTTTCTTTCTTTTATCTCGAAACATTACCAATAATGGTACCGAAAGGTATTGGCGTTAGGTTAGTAAGTTAGAAGTAACGCAATACCTAGTAGAGAAGACGAGAGAAATCAGAGCATTACACTTTAGAGTATGTCGATCAGAATGAGTTAGAATATTATGTAAGCAAGTTGTTGTGCTTGAAAAAAAGGAAAATTTACAATATGTATATACAAATTTTTTTATTTTTTTTTAAATACAGAACCAATGAGGGGGAACTGTTTTCCGCATGACTTCCCCTCATTAGCCGTCATCGTAACATGTAAATAATATATGCTCAATAGAAAATATTTTAAAATTAGACACTAATTACTATTCCTAATAACTTTATCAAGGCACTAAATTATTACAAATTAAAAAAAAAAATAGTTAGTATAACTTTTAAAGAACGTCTTTGTATTTAAAAATAATATATTTACCTACTTGTTTTAAATTTAAAATTCGTTATACTTAAACCTTGACAATGTTTTTGAGTTAAATTTAATTAACAAAATTGTTTATTAAACATACTTGATGTTGGTCTGTGGCTTATATTTGGCTAGTGATTCTGTTTTTAGTTTAGTCGAGTCGTCTGGTTAATTTAAATTTAATTCAACAGCTGTCATCTGTCGAAGTTCAATAATAATCAAACAGACGACGCCTTTAAACCTAACTTAACTGAATTGACGGCCAAGTTTATGTCACAGGCTAACTTCAACCGATATTACATTAATGTTAAATTCAAATATTTCTTCACGACTTCACATGCCGCGAAACATGTGTGAGCAAAGCTCCATAAAGATATATCGAATAAGAAATGGGTGAATTTTATTTTCATTAGAAAAGGGAAAAATTTCAAGTGGACCAAGAAACGGGGGACATACTAAGTATAGCTTGGAGGAAGATGATTGCGTTAGGTAGACTACTATCTTGTTTCGTCGCGGATCTACCGAGACGAAAAACGATTGTGCATTCTTAGTAAATTGTAATGCCTTTCCTTATATATTTTTTTTTAACAGTACAAAGACTATGGAGAATTCAGCGGGTTCGACTTGCGGAGAAACGACACTTTGGCATGGGACTTGGTCGGCAAGTACGCTACCGATGTATTCACGGACGAGGCGGTGCGATTGATCAAGGAACAACCGGCCAGTAAGCCGTTGTTCTTGTACTTAGCGCACGTGGCCGTGCACACGGGCAACTACGGCAAGCCCTTGGAAGCGCCACAGTCAGAAATCAACAAGTTCAAACACATTGCAGACCCCAACCGGAGGACATATGCGGGTACCATGTCTTTTCGACCTTGCTTGTGAACTTACAAGTCACTGTCACATAATATTTACTTTGAAACTATGTTTGGTCTTGCCATGCACAATCCGTTTGTAAATCTATCGGTTTTTCCGTTTCACTTCAAAACGTTGCCCTTGGAAGCATCTGCAGACTACTTCCTGCAAACCTCTGAAATCTCTTGGCTTCATGCATAAGACTTAGGCGGCTAAAAAGTCTCCTTTTACCATCTCTGTTAAATAGTCTTAATTTTGAAATTCTTAAGCGCTACGGTTTCATCTCTAGTACTTGTCTTTTCCTCGACTACCTTTCGAATGCTCGAGCCAAATATTAAATTCTTTTCGTATGATCTCTCCAGTTGAGTTCCCGAAAAGTTTACACGTACTTCAATCGGGTTATTCGTTTTTCCTTTAGATTAATTTGCCGTGCTGAAATAATAATGTTTATGTTGTCTAGCGATGGTTTCCAAGTTGGATGAGTCGGTCGGACGGGTAGTGCAAGCGTTGTATGATAAGAAGATGTTGGAGAACACAATCATAGTGTTCATGTCCGACAACGGTGCGCCTTCTTTCGACGATTCGGGCCGGAATTTCCCGGCAAATGCCGGCATAACGCCAAACTGGGGTTCTAATTTCCCATACAGAGGGGTGAGTTCAACCGAAATCAGTCTATGAACAGTCATCCAGTGCTCGCAAAGATTTTCAACGTTGACATTTGTATTTTCAGACCAAAAACACATTGTGGCAAGGCGCCGTCAAAAGTGCCGCCATTGTTTGGGCTCCACAGTTCCAACGGAGTCCTAGAGTATCTCAACAGCTCATGCACATCACCGATTGGCTGCCAACATTGTACACGGCAGCGGGTTTGACATATTTTTTCATAATCATATTATGCATACTATTAGGTACACACTTAAATAATTAGATGCATTTTGTTCACTCCCAAGGTGGCAATACCGAAATTCTACCAAAAGACTTGGACGGAGTCGATCAATGGATGCCGCTAACGTTAAATACACCGTCCCAACGCAGGGACGTTTTGTTAAACATAGACGAGAAGCTACGGTACGCTGGCATAGTAAAAGATAACTGGAAGCTCGTTATCGGTAAGCAAATCATTTTGTGGCAAATCCAACAACTATTAAGATTCCTGACCGTTTAAAGCGGCTACAAATAAGGATACCTTTCTGACATTCTAAATGTTGATCTTGTGCGCATTGGGCTAAAACTTAAAAGGGACTTGGTTACTACAAATATTGAAGTTAGTTCTGTTAAAAATTTATACAATTTTTCAATTTAGGTAGACATTTGTTCCATCATTTTAATAATCCTAGTTTTTACTTACCTTGTTTTAAGAATAAATAGCCTCCCACCCCAATAACCATCCAGAGAGGGGAGGGGGAAATGATAGGTTATTGATAAGAAAATCAGCTGATAAGAAATTACAAGATTAGATACAAGTGACAAGTATAAGACACAAATGATAAGAGATAAATAATAATTCTTTATTTACGGCGATAAAACTTCATTTTACATGATATAAATAATAAATAACAGATTTAAGATAGATTATAGTATTTTGACAAACATATAACTACATTATAATAAGGATAATAATTAATAACAATATCAATATTAATAATAACATAAGATATGAGTTTTCAGAATTCAATTGTTTTTAAGATTAATTTAAATTGCTTCCGATTTTTAAGATTAAAAAGATCAATATTCAAGCTGTTTTCCCATGGGCAATATTGGCGGGAAAATAATTGATAACCGTTTTACAAGGGTTTTCTGCGTAGAATGTATCGTTCATTCAAGTATTACCTGAGTGTACTTTAAAATGAATTTTAGTAAGAAGATCTGGACGGTCTAAATTAATATTAATACGATTATATAAAAATATAAATTTTTCTTCTAAGTTTTAATGAATCTATTTTAATTCGACGTAAAATGTCATCATAACCAGAAGTTTGGTGGTTTTTTACACAGACAATATGTCTTGCAATCTAGTACCTCTAATATCTTATCCCTAATCTATTATCTCTTATCCACTATCACTATTAATTCACCTCCATAATCCTTAATACTCTTCCATAATCCATAATGACGACAGCACTGTGACACAAAAAGTGACGGAGAAATTTTCAAAATGACCCCCAGCCATAAGACATATCCATGTGAAAATGATAAGGGATAACTGGTAACTGATAATAGATAAGCGATAAGAGATAAGAGATAACAATGTTTTTCCATGGATCGGAGAATATAATTACTAGGTTAGGTCCTTCTTCTTCTCCATTTTTTTTTTTTTTTTTTGCTAAACTATTGCCTCGGTTTGTGCCCTTAGGTTCGACGTTAAACGGTACGCTGGACGGTTTCTTCGCCGCCGTCAGGTCGCAGAAACAGTACGACGTGATGGGGGTGGTGGAAAGCGTGACGGCCAGAGCACTGTCTAGGGTGTCGGACGCTCTGTTTTTGCCCAAACCCGAACCCACCGACATGTTGGCTCTCAGGTACGAAGCCACGGTCAGGTGCGGTCCCTCGGCCGGACCCAGAGCCCCGTCGCCGTGTCCGCAGGGCGAGGCCTGTCTGTTCGACCTGCTAAACGACCCTTGCGAGACGAGGAACGTGGTCAGGAAATACCTGACGGTCGGCATTGACCTGTACGAAAAGCTTAAGGAATACCGAAGACAGTTGGTGCCGCAAACCAACGTGCCGTACGACGTGGCAGCCAACCCGGCTCGTTTCAACAACACCTGGGTCAGCTGGGTGTACTGAATGGCTGTCGTCGTTCCAGTAAAAGGCGCGCCTATCCCCGACTATTACACACTATTATTATTATTATTATTATTAAACACGATGGTGATAACGATAGTGTGTACCAACTGTATAGGATAGTTGAAGACTCGTCAACGAGTTCGGTGTATGTTATAAAAAAAAAAAATTGTTCAGGAGACGCAAATAACTGAACAGGATTACTTGATATCGGTTTATGTTATCTAAAAAAATTACGTCTTCGTGTTGGCAACATTGAGTGTTATCAATTAATCGAATAAAACGGTTTTTGAAAATTTTTTTTAACATACGCCGATCTCGTTGATAAGTCTTCAATAATTATTATTCGTATTGATATATTTTTAATGTAATAGTATCGTTATCACGCCATTGCAGCATTGTGCCTAGAACGTGCATTGGGAAATAGTTTCATAATGTATATACACTAATTCAATATGATATAATAGCATATAATACCGGGTTAGGTCTTTTAACGCCCTACGCTAGTTTACACTCTTAAAATAATTACAATTTTTTAGTTATTCTTTTTGAAAGCATTTTGAAAAATAAATATTCAAAACTGGTTATCGACCAGTCAATTTTTGTCAGTAAATTATTCTTAATTTAAAAATCCAATTCATTATATTATATATGTTACCGTTTAAGTTTCAAAAGTTGATCAGAGCTCTAGCAAATAACAAACAAGGTACAATCAAAAGAAACACTACAAAATTGTAATTATTTTAAGACCAAACTAGTGTAGGGCGTTAAAAGAACCAGCCGGTATTATGTATATTATTATTATACATGCAGCGCGCTATTCATCAACAGTGATCCATCTTCTAGATACATTCAAAAATTCCAATTATTATAAATTAAATCGTTCGGTTTCAAATTTGCAATTTTCGCTTTCCCAAACCGATTAATACCGAATATATATCATTATATAATCCTGTTGGCCCGTTTACAGTATAATATTATCTATGAATTCGAGAATCAAACATTAGCGTTTACATTTTGAAGAGGAATTGTCTTTTTTCTCTAAAAATTATTATTAAAAAAAAAAAAAAAAATGTCTGATTATTTATAACGCCAGTCGATGTACAAAGAGAAAAAAAGAAATTTAATTTCAGGCGATATTAGATGGCTCACGGACTGAAAATAACGCTCTAGTATACAATAATTATTATTGTGTGGTACATGCAATGTCGTTAGGCGAATATTTTCCAAAGTAAAATTATATAATTTATTGTATATTGTTACGGCGTGTGGCTTTAAGTATAAATTTCTTTTTTGACGTTTCGTATAAATCGAAATGTGTTTTATTTTTTGTTAAGATATTATGATGTATTATTAGTTAAAATTTAACTAGAATTGTTCAATGTTTGTCTATATATGATTGCACTTTAAGTAAATATACTTACAGTTTAATGTAAACATACGTGTCTCTTGACTTGGAAGCAGATTAAATATGTATCTTTTTTTAATGTGTTAGAGAAAAAAGAAGACCAGAACTGCAACAACTAGTAGTTTGATGTTGTATAACAATTAACATAGCCAAGAGTGATGGGACTTTGGAAACATTAGATCCCACTTACTGGTATCAAAAGGAATAGATTGTCTTGATTACATTGTAAAGTTAACAAAAATGTTCTCAAGCAAAAAAAAAAAAGGAAAATAAAATAGTTTAGAAGGATGAATGAATAAATTAATCGTACAAATTCCCATTATTTAGATTTTTTAAACATTTTAACGTGACATTTGTATTTTTAATGGATAATAATCCGGGTTTGCCAATTGTTATTAAATACACTCTTAACATAATGTTAGTTGACAATTCATATAAATTTAACATCTGGTTAATTCAAGTAAGTTTCACTGTAACATTATTATTTTTAAATTATATTTGTTTGATTAACGAAATGTTAGTTGGGTTACCAAAGCGATTACCTTGGTTCTAACGTTATCATTGGTTATCACGAAATGTGATAGCCGATAAGTGATAATAATATAATTTTAAAATCAAAACTCAATTAGTAATGTATAATTCGAACTATGGCATTTTAACATGTCAATTAACTTTTTCACAAGCTGATTTCGCCTTAACAAATGTTGGTGAAATCGGCTGAATATCTACAAACTGTGTTTGTGTTGAGTGTTTTGAGTAACAAAAATTACTTGTTTCAAGAGCTCATAACTCGAAACGATTATTTGTTAAAATGTATGATAATATTATCATATGATATAGTAAAAATTATTAACGACCACTTCGAAACTCTAGGCGCTATACATAGGCAACTACTATGGCAACTGCGCGCTTTCAGTGTATTTAACGCCTATTGTTTGCAATGTAAAATATATTATAATCTAAAATAATGGAAAAAGAACTACAGATAATAATAATAATATATTCTCCCTTTTCTTGTCAATGATTCCACTTTTCCACTTAAGCTTTTACAAATACATTTTAGACACACTTTAAATGTATAAATAAGTTTTTCAGATTTTTTTTTGATAATACTTCATTAACTAAAATCAGTGGTTGAAATACTGTTTTAAATACAATTAAATTTGTTGTTATAAATTTATTTATTTAAAAGGTTATGTTTGTTTATTGCTTGTCACAAATTTATTAAAATAATTAATAAATTTATAAATTATAAGTAATTTTTTCCCAGTCGGTAAGTAGTAACTTGGCATCGTTATTTAAACTGATTCACTTGCCCAAGTCGGTAAGTAACTTAAGTACTTATACTTATTTTAATTTCCCTAATAATAATTACAGTATAGAGTAAACTCTGAATGCCAACTCGCCTTTAAAATGTTATAATAATAACAAAAACTTAAAAGTAGGTAATCAATTAATGTCATTAGGCCATACTACAATTATTATTGTTGTGTGAATAATACATTGTTTTGTTGTAACAAAGAAGAACAACCGCAGCCGGAACAGTAAAGCACAGATTGTGATTAACAGATAAGAAAAAAAAACATTAATTGTAATTAATTATCAGTTATATAAGCACGTGTGTACTAAGATATTGTTAGGATAACCTTAGGAAATTTATCCGTTTGAATACTATTAACAAAACAAAAAAAACCGGTTCACCAAAAACGAATAATTGAACAACTGACAACATAAAACTATATAAGTGCTGTTTATAAGTGCTATCGCGAGTAAGGTGCAATAATAATATATTATAATACACACATAAATTTCACACAAGTTTCTTTTGCGTTTATGTAAGACGTGTAACCGCGTTTCTCAATAACTAGAATCGCAAGTTTTCAAAAAAAAAAACAATGATTAGGGCACCTATATATATATATATATATATATATGTATATAGCTTGTATTTTTTATTATTTTTTCATAACGTTTGATTAGACTTTGCTAAGCCGAGGATATTACCACAGAGGTGACAAAACTGAAAGCGTTATATTATTCGGTTCTATCCTGCGTGGGCTTAAATGCGTGTTCTGCAATACAGCAGTAGTAGTGTAAATATAATATATGAAGTATAATATTATACTGTATATAGCTGTTGTACCTACATAATGTATAGTTTTGGTCCAATGAAAATAACGAGGCGCAGTGATGATTTTACGATGAGACTATTTTCCAAAACTACTTATCACCACGTCGGCGATGGCCTGATTTCTTTTGTACACCGACCAATTAACGGATGAGTTAAGTTATTCCTTCATTTATCTCATGGTCTGGCCGCTGTACTTGGTCGAGACTATGACGGTGCAACTTGTATTGTACATAAATAAATATTTTAGCCGTGCCAAAGCACAAGCCTTGTGTGTATCACAAGCGAAATCGTTTTAGGTACTTGCCGATGCTATTGAAACCCGTGGAAGAAGCTACCGAGCCCCTGGGTCTGGTCTAGGTCGCTTAGCAATGGGAAGAGCCAATTATTATATCTGAATATCTAAAAACAAATTTCCATCTTGTTTGGATTTGAAATTTTAACACGAGGAGAAAGAAAGAGGAAGGAAAATATAGAAAAAAGATATAAGTGTGAATGAGGTGGGGATAATTGTGAAAATAGTGATAAGGAGAAATCGACAACTCTCGGATAACTGATAAGAGCTTATTGATAAGAATATAATATGATAAGAGATGGACGATAATAAAAATTTTGATAAGAGACAGAAAATCAACTGGTCATAAGACATATTATTATTCATGGTCGTATTTCTTCGAGGGAAAGATGGTAGTTTGATTTTCATACAACATATAAAGTTCTGCTTTGTTGATTCGATTAGTTATTTGACATTTACAAGCGGCAGCGTTATTACGAATGTCTGTAATTAAAGTTACACTCTCGAGTCTATTCCAGTATTTCATTTTATTTGCTATAATAATATGTAACCTTATCTAACGTGCCCACTCGATATCATACAAGGAAGCCAGCGAGGTCCTATTCAACCCGACCAATTAGATGCAGTCGGTGATTATTTTTCTTTTTTGCCGAGTACCTATACTTATCCGTCGAGAAAATCTCACCACAGGTGACCAACAGGGAAGTGCTCGCATCGCAATTTAGATGCTTGTAAACAGATTGCACATATAGGAACAAAGAGCTCTGCAATGGATGGACACATCCAATGGTACATCTGAACGGCTCATCAACAATTTAGGTCGTTAACCGGTCTTCTTATCCAGCCTCGAAAACCTGAGCGACAAAGAGCAAGACTCAAACGAGTCAAGAACACCACAAGGTCGTCGGTGATCGTTTACGATGGAAAGATTTACATTTTTTTTTTAATGAACGCTTTAGGTGCTTCTACCAGACTTTATAAATCACAGCTGAATATTGTAAAATATATTATGGTAAAAGATGAGTCAGTTCTAAGTACCGTAACGACCAACGCGTGTGTCATAAAGAATTTTTTTCAACTAAGCCCCACACAACAATGTGTGTGTCCTAACGACAAATTTAATTATATAATTATGTTCAATCGGTCGGTCTTATACTATATTCAGTGTTTTTTATTATTATTTTTTTATAACCGCCAATAACAATACAACACCAGGTGATTGATTTATCACGCTGACAGACATTATTAACAACAATCGCGTTTCAAAATTCGAAATTACTTCAAGGCCGCATTATCTCTTGGATATCGGCCGTTCAAATGACAAAAATATTTCCATAATTCGCGATAGAAATTGGTTTTATGAAGTTGCAGCCCATTAAAACCGAAAAAAACTTATAAATCGCTAAAAAAAATCTAGTGAATTTGGAGCAAAATAAAAAACCATATGGTCCAGTCACATTTTCTGAAATATTTATTATATAAAATTTAAACAACAAAATTACTCATATGTGTTTGATTTGATACCGGTATAAGTAGAGTTTAGCCTATGATGTTAATATTATTGTTAATATTAACATGCTATATACTATGTTAGCTGGTGAGAACGGCCATTGGTGTACAATGGACATTGCAAGTTAATTTGTTGATCATGGAGAAAATGTTCCAACCTTGGAGTTCCATCACTGGGTGGTTTCTTCAAACAAGTGATACTCTGCTAATTGTATATATCAACCATAACATATGCTAATTGTACGAATATTGTAATGTACAGATCGCCTATTTTTTCTAATAAAAAAAAATGGGTAATATTCGCATGCCAGCTGTTGGTTAAAATATTTAATAAATATTTATTTATTTTTTTTAGAACAATAGAAAATTGAGATGTTTTTAAACGAAAGAAAAATGAACATCAGTTAATTGCAATTTTATTTCAGCTTTAATTTGTAACTTAAAAAATATGTTAAAAAACATTGAAAATGTTTTTAAAAACTTGTCAAAAATCCTTGAACACTTTCGTTAGAAAAAGGTTAATTGAAATTCTTTTCCCTCGTCTAGTTTAATACAAAACAGGTCGATTAACTTGTAAAACGTTAACTTTAATAATATATATTTATTTGATTTGTTCAGCATTTTAATACTATAATGTACTAGACTGGGAAAATAAATTTGAGAATTTTTGTATTTTTGAAATCTAGATGAGAACCGTTTAAAGCAATACCGTAGCCGTTGTTGTGTTGTTATTACCTATATTGTGCGTTATGCTATACCGCATGTGTGTTTATTTGTATTGTCCAGAATCCACAGAAATAGCATAACATTATTATGCATTGCGGTCACTGTAATAATATAATATAACATTGTTGTAGCGAATATAATACATATCTTCTATGGTCGTGTGAACCGGGCAAAAAACGTATGTGTGTTAACACACAAGTTGGGCTTTTTAAAGAAAGAAAAAAAGCGCTTGGAAGTATTTACAATAATATGGTGTACTTGCGCAACGTTTTACCAAATAATTATTATTACATTGTGTCGTTATATAACCGTTGTAGGCCCACCTGACTAAAGTAACAGCTTTTTTCGACTTTCCGACTATTATGTAAACCGTTAACGCAATACACATCATCTCGACCTATTGGCTTCCTTTAACAATACGGCTATTAATACCTATTGGCTATTGTTAAAAGTTTTCTAAGGTTATTAAGTACAAGTTGTTGCGTTGACCGAGAAAATCCAAAACGTGGTTCCCCTCGTTTCAACATCTTCCCTCTTATCGACGCTCAATACAAGTCAATACCACAAAACATTAACCACCTTGAAATCAAGCTTAAACACTCAAACAACCCATATAACGAAAACAAAATACTAGCCAACGTCATACTTCAAATAGATTTCTTTTGTCTTTTTACTCAGCAACGCACAAATTGATTTTGAGTCGACCGCTCTAGTCACACAATACCGCCTTCATCTTTAATAATATCTTTTTAGGCCTTTCTCCACCAATCTTCTTGTTTCGTTCTTAGTACGTTTGTTGCCTTTGTCACCTTTACTGATTCTCCGTACTCTCTCCTCGTGCCCATAATGCGATGGCCGCTATAATTTAGTTTTTATTTGAAATGGAAATAAAATTGAATTTTTCTCGAGCTCTCTCAAGATCATCGTAGTTTCAATTTTTCACTTACAATAACGATCTTGACAATTATTATCATCGCAATTTACCTTCTATTACTACAAAAGAAACACATAAATATCACTGCAAATTGCTGTGAATCAATACAGACCCACGGAGCACATGTCTCTTTTTATATTATATTAACTGTATAGGTCCATCAACGATTTTATCTATTAGTCAGCTACTGACCAGAGAACTTACTTGTTGAGCTCAACGCGTTCATAACCACGTTGGAGCATTATGAATAATATTATAATAAATTATAGTAAACATCGGTCGATACGGTTCGAGCGTGATTTGGACAACATACGATGTATTACTAATAACAAGTATTATATTATTCCATAGCGGATAATGCATTTGTGGTCGAGTGTAAAGAAAGCTGGTATCGAATTGGGCATGGGTTCAGTAACGCTTATATAAAAATCAACTTCCATATCATTATTAGGTAGGTATAATATTATTGTATTGCGCAAGTGTTTATAACGTGTCCAACGTGAATGATATGTGTGTGTGTGTGTCTATAGACAATAATAATTTATTGATGATGTAACGCAAGCATTAAGCGCATCCGTGAAGTAAATTTAACAGATAGAGAAATAATAATAATAAAAAAAAGGTAATTATTAATATGTATTGCCTACGCTCGCGGTTCGTGTCTAAATAATAATTTATGCCTAATAAGTAATAAACATGTCTGGATAATAATTATTCATAAATACAACGCATGGTAGGAAATTTTATTAGGAGCTTACACATTTATCAACATAGAAGTATAGAACTCGATTTGAGAAATGTGCATGAGATTAATGTCGCAGAGTGGAATTTCTCAACGGAATGTATAGCTCTAGATTAACTTGATGAAATAGAATGATTAAATAAAATAAAAAATGGCTAATGTCGCGTCGTAGAAGTATTAGGTAATTTTGTCAAAGGCAGAGAGTCAGAGACAAGTTTGATAAACAAGAAGAAAACAAATTGTTTTATATCATTATTGCAATTTAAATACTTTGTTAAAATCTTTAGCTGGAAAGATTACCAACCCTTTATTGAGGGATCAAAATTAATTGTTTTTTTCTATGCTACTTTTCTCCTCTTTACTCGCATGTTTCAATTAGGTTTATCTTTACAATGATTATTGTGCATGTCTTATTGGAGTCATACTTGATGCCTTGTCATAACTAAAAAGGTGAAACAGAAAAAAGCTCTGTATTTAATATAAAGCTACCAAAAAGTGGATACAACATTATTTACACTATAAATGATATTAGAAAAAAATATATATTTTATCTTTTTACTATGTAACTGTAACTCTACGACTGTTGCTTGTATGTATTCGAAGTGAATTTTTTCTAGCCCCCCTTGCCTTTTTTTCGTTTCTAAATCCACCCTTGACTTTTTAACCGGTTAATGCTTAGCTCGGGGCTGAACCATAGTGTATCTATCATACGGTCTACTACCGTTGCAGATGAACTTTATAGCTGTTTATCTTTTTAGTATTTTCCAGGGCGCGCTATGGGCTTGTAAAATATCTTGATACGGGAACGTATATAAATAAATTTAATTCAATTTTAAGATTAGGAAAACATGTTTGCTGGCAATTTTGTAGTAGATACACAATATAGATTGGTGGGTGGGCGCGACCAACCCGCTCCTAAACGATGGGAAAATCAAATAGTGAAAATTAAATTGGCAGAAAATCAAAACGGATTATGCGACCACGTCGTCGTTTTGTAGGGGGCGGGGCGGGGGAAACGTCTAAGAAAAACGACGATTCACTTTCACCGATGGTTCTCTGTCGATAGACAATCGGGCGGATTTAATTGTGTTGGCGCACTTGAAATACACATTTCCTATACGTAATTCGAACCGGCGGCGTTCGTTGAACACGTACAACAATAATATATACATATATATATATATATATACAAACAATAAACATAATAGTAATAACAGCAGCAGCAGCAGCAGCAACAATAAAGACGTAAGTAAGTAAGTAAGTAAGCAATAGTTAATAGTAATGATAATAGTAAAAACACCTTTCACGCCGGCCGCCACCGGACTGTATAATAATATTAAGTGGGCGTACTTTCTTTAATGATCAGAAATCTCGTCCGTTTTCCTGAAACGTGAACCTTCTCCGGCGGTTTTGTTCATTTTTTGACCTTTCATTATTTCACGAAAACGACACACCGTGAAACCGAACGCACGTCAAAATATATAATAGCCGTACAAAACGTTATTTCAATATCAGCTAGTTTTAATTAGATGTACACTTACCCGGGCAATAATATTCCAAACGGCCTGAACGGCGATTTCAAACGGTTAGTGGTCCGTGCGAGAGTAGGTACATTTGTTTAAACCAAGGTCGCCCGTAGAAATAATCTCAAAACGAAAGAGAAGATCAATCTTTTACATACTTATAATTAGAAACTGACAATCTGCATTGTGACGATATTAAAAAAAAATTATTTGTAAATAAATATCGATGACCGTTCTCATCAAAATGCCGGTATATACCACTGATACCAACATCACTTACCTGGTCAGTAGTTATTATTTTGTTATCACAAATCGTTACCAACGCAATATTGGATCGTACTTTTCAATCGATTTTATCTCGGTTGCGTTATCGTAAAATATAAGTCAGTTTTACAGATATATATATATATATATATAATAAACTAAATTGATACTTATTGTTAGTAATAACTTATGATTAAGATAAAAATTGATATGAATTCGAGTCGACGTCGGCCATTTTTGAGAGATTCTTGTGTGTATATGTATATATCAGTGATTCTGTGCTATCAACTTAACTTGTAATAATTGTTATAAACAGTGATAACAGATATAAACATGTGATAAGGTTATAAAGATGGCGGAAAATGGTAACTTCATTATATCTACTGGCAACATGTACACTTAGCAATCTAGTTTATTATAAATATACATGAGGTCAGTTTTTAAATGAACTCAAGTCGTGAAACGTTGGCAGAGTTTTAAAAAAACCTGTGATTGTAACGAATAGGACAACTAACTTTGTTTTTTTTTTTACTTTTAAAGGTCAGTGTCGAAGAACTTGGCCTGTGGCCGTCCCTGAACATAGTTTTCTCACAAAATAATTAAACTCTTTGCGATGAATATAGATCTAATATATAAATATATTTATATTTATTTATAGTAATTACACGCTATTTATTACAGCCACATTGTGAGTTTATACAATTAAAAATAATAATAATAATAATAATGATTACTATGTATAATAATAATAATAGATATTCGTACTATACATGTTTTTACACGGTAACAATATAATATTATAGTATATATATATATATATACGGAACGTCACGGGGAGGTGCGGCGGCCGCGGTAATTTTTTTGAGATTAAATAAAAAAATAATTTAAGTAGAATTTACGCGCGAACCGCCGTTTATACACACCATTAAATACACATACATTTGTTTATTTTTTTTTTTTAAATACACACATAGGCAAGTACAATACAATACAGGATATTATGAACATATAAGTACATATTTTTTTAAAAGTACTATATTGCACGGTACGATGAAATGGGAAGGAAACATTTTTTTGAGGCGATACTCGACATATATAATAATAATTTAATAAAACGTTTTTTAAAAATTTTTTTTAACAAATTCAACGTTTCGGTTCGTCTTGGTCGTTTTCTCGATGGTTTACGACACACGCGACCGAGTGACTAACAATAAATAATAATAATAATAATATTACCTACGACCTCGTTTGATGACGTTTTTTTTATAGGCCTACCTTTTAGCATTTTGCATATTATTCAGATGGTATAATATGTTGTGTGTGTGTGTAAATTGTCGATTTCCTTGCAGCAGCAGTCGTCGTGCCCTATTGAGAGTTGATGATGTAGGATATCCAGTCCACGGTCATGGCCACCCTGTGGTAGATACCGGGTTGACCGCGCTGCGCACAAGAGTACCCTGCCGACACTATGCCGATCAGATACCAACGGCCGGTCTTCTCCAACATCAGAGGTCCGCCAGAATCGCCCTGTACACAACAATTGCACACATACCGTGTTAATACATATGTTATTGGCTTGTGTCGAAAAAAAAGCCCAGTTAATCGCTTAGACTCGGGCGTGGCAAGTGGTGTGGAGAGGAGCTAATCCGGACAGCACTTACCTAGACCAACTGAAAAAACTAAAGCAGTGGTTCTGACATGGACTTTAGGAGGAACGTAGAGAAGGTATTGTTTTTTAATTTTGGTCATGGATACTAGAATAGAACTAAAATACATCCATGTTGGGTTAGGCTAAATCCACCCGTATTTTAACTACAGATCTTATTTTGATTTTGTGTTAGCTTTTAATGACGAACAAATGTAAACAAACGAATAATTTGTTTGTTATAATAATTATTCTGCAAAAAATGCCTTTGTGTGACTAAAAAAAGATGTCATAAAGTGAGAAAATGTTTATCTTTTGGCAGCAATAATGGCAATGCAGTTTTAAATAATACATAGTCTAATTTAAAAAAAAAAAAATAGGAAAATAGTAAAAACTACAATAACGTTTTTTTATATAACAATATGATGACTTTTATATTTTATATATTATTATTTATAGGTGCATATGTGTATGCATATATAACAATCTGTTATCTAATGCACTGTTACGATGATAAAATCGACGGTTTTCGGACATGAGAACTAAATGTGAAAACTAAGAACAACTATTCAAATTACAACATTACAATACAAAATGTGTCTTAAGTGTTAGGACCATTGTGCACACCAATGCATAACGCCGTCGCCAGTGTGATAGTTTCTCCAAAGTTGAAAATAATTTAAAACTGTTTATTTTCACTGTTATTTTAATAGTAGGTACTTGACGGAGTAATTATTTTGGAATGTCGATAAAACGAAAAAATGCTCATTTTGGTGACACACAATAATTATACTCGACTCTTGAGTGTTTATTAAAGCACACGAACAAGCTGAAGTTAAGTTGAAATTTCAATTGTTACTTAATCAGAAATCATATACAATGTAGATATAGATTTTTAGGTTACTAGTAATCAGAAATTTTCCTAATTTACAAGGGTTATAACAGTGTAGTTCCTCTTGAAAGCGCACGCTAGATTTATGTCCGTCCGGTTCCTTAAGTGCAGGTATATAGGTTCAATTTGGAATGATTACAGCCTTAAAAATCATAATAAGTTTCTGTGCCAAAATTGATTACAGTAAAAAATAATAATAGCTACAGTTTGCAATGTGACCTATGGTGTTTTAATAAATAAAATAAAAAAACCTACCAAGACAAAGGTAATTTCGTTAGTGTCCATATCCAGGTAATTGGATAATCGCGTCATAGTTCTTTGAAAAAAAAATGTCGACAATCGATTTTTTTCAACAATACAAGTTCGGTTTTAACGAAAATCCTGTATTATTATTATTATTATTATCTGGTTCCTTTCACCGTTCGGAAACTGATTAAATGCGTTGCACAAACTTAATTTTGGTCGTTTTGTGTTATGGATTTATTATCGCAGCAAAAAGGGTCAAGGAGATGTAGGTACATAATAATAATAATATGCAATTTGATCGGCAACAAATTATCAGCAAACGAAACGTGCGAATAGGAGACAATAAATCCGATAATGGTATTAGGCATACATATTTTTATTTCTAAATCGAAAATAAAAAATAAAAAAGATCATCTCCGGTTAAAGCACGGCCTTTCGTGCTTTCCTAATCTCACATCTATTACACACTGCACTTGTCATAGCTGTCGAACCGTAAACTTTCTCATTCCGTTCAAATAACACATAAATGTTCTTTAAACGTTCTATTCTGTTTCGACTGGAGCGCACCAGTAAATATTATTATCAGTGCCCACAACAATGGTATTATTCCATTGGAACGTTCTCCTAAATTAATACTATTAATCATTTTCAGAAAATTAAAAATATTAGTTAGAGTATTTTTTTGCCAAAAACATAGGTGTAAATAATTAATGAAAATTACAAAAAAAAATAACCAACTCAATAAAAGTCTAAAAGTTTTAAATGACAATGCCCTAAATTTTTTCAGCTCCTCCCAAAAGTGTTTTTCCGTTGCACTTAACGAATATTAATTTTGTAAGCCGCCTAACGTGCAATTGTCTAAGAAAATATAACATTTGTATTCACCCTACGTTTGTACTTAGCTAAATTATCAGATAACTGCCAGTTTTTTACACGAAGTAAACAAAAAATGGTTTATTATAACTTGTACATTCGAGGTTTTCTTTATTTGAAAACAATCTTGAAAAAGTAATTTTTATGTAGAGCAAAAAATGTGTAATTATTTTCAAATAATAGAAATGGGTTAATAGAATATTTAAATTTTAACTCAATTACTTTTTAGATACTAAACAATAATTTGTACTGTGTCGTAAATTTGTTTAAAAAAATAGTCTTTTAGCCTATTATTTTTTTATGCTTTTTTTATATTACTATTGTTTTTATTGGTCGGTCTATTTTGTATTCATGTTATGTTTTCCTATGCCGATGCTATATTATAATACCTATATAACGTTATGCTAACAACAAGAGACCGGATTTGTACGTTGTGATGTTTTAAACATAATATTTCGACGTTAATGAATATTTCATACACAATACGTGACACACTTTGGAAATTTTCCTTTTATTTCTAACATAAAACCCCTAAAAAATTAAGAACAATAAAGACAAAGCACCGTTGGTTTTTAATTTTCCCTCGAAAAAAAAGGAAATATCCAAAAGTGGGCCTAAACAAATGACAGTTAGTCACTTTTCGCACCATCCCAAATGAAAGGGCTAATGATGTGTTTACTTTTTTTGGTTTCTTTGGAAAATCATTAGTTCTTAGTGATATCCGGTTTGGAACGCAGATTCCCGGAACAGGCATTTCCTGTGCGTTTCCCAGGAACGGGTGTCCTAGTCGGGATTGAGATGCCTCATTAACAGCCTTATGTCTCCGTAAGAACTGTCACACGGAGTGGGAATGCCCGGGAATTCCCAAGAAATCATGGATTTGAACGCCGTAAGGGTGTGAACAACATTGTAGCACTCACTTGACACGAATCTTTGGACCCTTCTCTGTAACCGGCGCACATCATCTCGTCGTATATGATGACGTTTATGCCGTTGGACTTGTGCCACCGTTCGCACTGTCTGTTGTCGATGATGGGTACGTCGACGGCTTGCAAGGTCTTCGGCCTCAACCTGGATCCTGCGAACAAAAAATGTGGGAAAACACACAAAACTGTACTCGACAAAAATTTAGCGTAACACATTATTGACAACATCCCGCCGCAACAACCCACATTCGCTCCTCTTCTAGGGGCACGTCTTAATCCGAACCAAGAGCGGATGATGTCATAAATTATCGCTGATTAACGTTCGATTAAGCAACGTATGACTTAAGTACACACACACACACACACACACCGACACGATAAATCTGTTCTGAAAACCTGATATTTCTCATTCGGGCAACAGCACAGCTATTATAACGGTGCTCGAAGTCAGGTTCTCCACATGTGCTACCGGTTATTCGCGGGGAAAACCGTGTAGGTCGCAGGTAATTTATTACTATAATATTAAGTATACGGCAGCAGATTTAGTGTAATTTTATAGTAGATAATAATAATATTAGAATGTATACATATATATGTATATTATTATTATAATCTTCCAACGTCATCGCCGGTACCGTTGCAAGCGAAAACTAGCGGCACGCCGAATCACGATTAAACGTTTTAGAAAATTATAAAAAATATATATATATAATAAAAACATTAAATCGAAAGTACGACTATTATTGTTTTTTTTTTCCTTCCCTCCTTTCTTGCCGCGGTCGCGTGATGCTCGTCTACTACCGAATGCCCATTAAACGCCGTCGTTTTATAAACAATTTAAAATTTTACCGCCGCAGTTGAGTATTAATAATGATAAACATTAAATTTAACAACGTTATTAGGTGTACTACAGACCTCGAATAGAATATTATCATTACTTATAATTTGATAATACTGTTGTAATGTGCAGATGTGCTTGGCCGGGGAATCGTTTGAATTCGAAAGTCCGTTTGTCGAGGCATTATTGTAAGCATCGTCCGAAACAACAAGAACCACAAGAAGGACGGTAATGGTATATAATTTCTATACAAATCACACGGCTCGACTCTTGACCGTTTCCAGATACAAAGCTGACCGGACGGACAAACGGTGTGTTAGCAATTATTGTTGTTACAATTTGATCGAGAATTCGCAAGAGAGTAGATGCCTTGAAGGAGATGTGTAATAAAGTTTGATCGGCTGAGGTAGATCGATGTAACAGGCGTTTAAAGATAACAAAGTGTCATTTGAATAAAACTGTAATCGATGCAATGAAAGGACTAATTTAAATGAGAATACTGAGATTGGCGTGTGAAGTGACTATAATTGGCATAGACAGTAAAATTATTAGGTTAGGTGCTTGGGAGGTAATAGATTGAGCTGGTGTGAGTCTAATGAAAGAAGGGAGAAAAATAATGAAATAGTTAAGAGTTCGTATAACGCTTGCCTAATATTCTATTAATAATTCTATGAAAAGAATGGTGTGAATTCAAATTGAATCATACTAAATAGCTGACCAAATACATTTTTAGTTTTTTAATTGACTCAAGTTACCTTTAGTAGTAATTTTAATTAAGATAATATCTTTTAACTTGTCTCATCCGATATTGCTAATCGCTAATTCCTGAAATTTAAAGACTCTAATTTAAGTTCATATCATCATGCTCAGCTTTTAACCACTAACTGTCTATGCGGATTAGGTTAATTCCAAGTAAAATCTCAAAATTTCACTACTATTTGGCCAATTCAAGACAAACCGCTGCCTGTGATTGTATTTACACGCTGAGCCATGTTGCTGGGTAGAAACTGTCACAGATGTATGTATAATGCGGTACCGGAGTTTAACGGATGATTTCACAATTGCTCTCGATAGCATGTGATTTTAATTAACGGTTAGCGACGTCCGCAATGAGTCTACCATAGACTCTTCGGCCAAACGTTTACACGGCACCTTTCCTATTGCCGAGTAGTTTTTTTCGCCATTTGTTTTTCTCTCTCTTCCCAAAACGTGTACGGCCGCACTTAAACCGGAGAAAACCAACTCCGTCTTTGCCAAACTCCGAACACGACCAGTCTTAGACTGTGCGCGAAAACCCAGCAGACCGAGTTCAACGACTCAAACGTCATAACCGGGGAGGCATTCACTGCATGCATTCACACATTCACAAAATATCATATCTGTTAGTTCCATGTCATCGTTCGGACAATGGCGCTTTGAATGCGGTTTTTATTGATTTCGGGGACGATCGCCGACACGGTTTTTACCACCGTGTACGGCCAAGAGGAAGTGACAATCTAAATGTATAACCGAAATCCCACACATCATAACGGTGCGGTGCGCTGTTTACCCACGACCTTTTAGTCAATCGAGGCAGTAGCTGACCGGTAGTAGCGCGAGGTCACCCGAAAATTGGATCTAAAACGGTAGTGGAACTTTAAAAACTATTGAATTTGGATGCCAGAAAATTGTCTATTTAAATCCTCGTCACATTTAATCCGTTCTCTGGTTGCCTCCATTGCTCGGTACTCTCCAAACGCCTCGGTGCAAATAGGTCCCTGCGTTCTGATTCAACTCTTAAACTGGTCTATATCATGATCGAAATCAATTGAAAACTTACCGGCTTGTAGAGCGCCCCATCCGGCGGCCCATCCGTACTGGCCAAGGAAGTCTTCTCCCTTGTCCGGCAAGCATATGGGCGCTATGTGGGGCATGTACTGCACTGGTCGGTCCAACTTGAGCACGGCCACGTCGAAACGGTCGGCTTGCGGTGTGAACTTGAAAAACGGATGAACGCTGATTTTCCTCACGCCAAACGTGTAAGCCGGCAGTGGTTCTACGGCCGAGTTGATAACGTAATCGCCCAGCGTTACTTGAACTTGTCGTGCCGACGCCCTGTCAATGTCAACAATGAATTTCATAAGAAAACCGCATAGCAACTGACTCACTAGACAGTTCAGTAACGATTCAATAGACAGTGAAAACGACAGAAGTGGTTTAGTGCATTAGAGACAAGACGAAGGACATTCTTGGAGCCAGTTTGACGACCCTGGAGGGAACAAACTAAACTGTCCTAAGCCTAAAAGTTCTCGGCGAAACTGCTTGACAGATGTGTGTTACATCTTTGTAAGCTTAAAAAAAACCTATACCGAACAAATCCCCCTCTCGCATTTTTGGAGCATTTGTTTTCGAATATATTTTCACCAAAATTATAGATCTCATTAGGCGGATTGGATCGAATCTGAAGAAAGAAAATCACTCGTATTCGACGATTACACCCTCTCTTCTGGGTTAGATCTCACAATCAGTCAGTCATAGCTGGGCCAACTTTAATTTAACATTATTGATGGTTCGTTGGAATGCGTTTTTTCTCAATATAATAATATCGTGTTCAAACAGATTCATATTTTAAATACAGCATCAACCGAACAACGCCCCACTCTGTTTTTTGAAGTTTAAAAATATATTATATAAAAAATATGATTTAATTTCGACGTTTACCTCGCCACGCAATGTCCGGCCGTAACCACGTGGTATCTGTTCACCAAAGAACCGCCGCAACGACTAGAACCGATGCGAATGTAAGCCTGTAAAAAAAAAAAAAAATATATATCAAATAAATACCTAGTAAATGCATAAAATCAATTAGTACTCCAGGATGACAAAAAAAAAAAAAAAAAATAAGAAGAAAATTGACAAGTGAAAATCGCATTCGAGCAATGTCGTTGTTGGATTTGTCGTGGCCGGTAGAGAAACTAAACGGGGAAAACCCAGCGACGGAAATGGAATAACAATAATAGTTTATAGTTATCCAATTTTGGGAACACCGACTGTGACCCACGGATAATCCCGTTAGCTACTTTGTTTATATTGTAATATTTTTTTGGGAGATTATACAAATCGCACCGACGATTATACCATTTCAAAACCAACGTCGGCCATTATTATGTTGTCAACGGGTTATAGACGACCGGATTAGGTCACAAGCTTAACCGTAAACCGCAGGCGGAGTCGTTGCTAAATATAATTCGCATTTCTTTTCATCGGCCATGTGCCACAGTTGATTGTTGACAGATTTGCACGGCCCACGCTGTCTTTAACGAGTCGTTATACAAATAGTGATATTTTCGCGAGGGAATCAAATAAAAGACTACCAAAATTGGGTCGGCGAGGTCTTAAGTATTTAGGAAATTTAATGGTCGACCAATTGTACAATATTATAAAAACAGTGCTAAATTTAACTGAGAAAAACTTATTGAAATTTGCAAGTCGTTCAATTCATTTTAAGTTGTATATTGTGTACATTTATGTTTTCTCTATTTTTCAAGCGGAAAGAATGAATTTCTTTCAAATGTAAACCTAATGAAGTACGCTTTGGAAATTATTTGTCATGTAGAGAGAACTAGAAGAAAAAAGTCTATCGGGCGATTATCGACTCAAAAAATATTTAAAACAGTTATTGTATTTTTGAATACATTTTTGTTTCTATTATTTTACAACGATATAAAGTTTCTAAATATTAGCCTATCTCGATATTTTTCTAGAGCCCTACACAAATTAAATACTTCAATGGTAACGCATATGTATTCCATTGGCTTTTTAAATTGAGAATAATAAATATCAACAGGTAAAAATTTGGAATTATAAAGACATTTTTATTGTGTTTAAAAGCGTGTGTTGATCCTACAAAAAATAAAAATTAAGTTGGTTTTTTTTCTTCAAAAATAGCGTTCCGTAGTTTAAATTTGGAAAATATCTACGTTATTTGTACGTTGGTTTTTTTTTATTTGAAAAGGGGAGAATTTTTTTAATTGTTTCACCAATAAAAGTACCTTACAGGTACGATTTGTGATCTTAAGACTTGCTCGATATGAATCAGACCAGACACATGTGTGTAGTAAATAAGGAATAAAAGAAACCTTTGGCGTTTACCTGCCAAGGAAAACTGCCGAATCCAGCTTCGTCGCCACCGACAATTCTCCTTTGCGCTCCTTGTTGCTTGACCACGGACACTCCACAACCTAAATAACATGGACACAACGATTACTCAACTACTCCAATACTATGTGTACACAAATAAATCTGATATATATATTTATCAAATGTTAAAAACGCAAAATTGTCGGGCCAAAAATGGTCGACAAAGTTTGCAAGGATCGATTAGCGTGGTAAAAAAGAAATGCAATATATAAAGCGTGGAACACAACAAAATGTGTTTACATAACTTGTCTCAGAATTACAATTGCGACGTCAGTGATAATTTAGAATTGAATAAATAAATATATATTTAAGATTACGACGGTAGTCTTTGAATCGTTTAAATCTACATCCGTTGCAGCATCGCATCCGTAATTCTGAGACGTGCGCGATGATGGGTTGTTAAGGTGCTCTACGGTTTTATGATGATAATCATAAATTACAGCTACGTGTGATGTATTATTTATATATATACATGTACAAACGGCGAAATAAGAAAACTATTTTGGGTTTTATAACAGCTATTTGTTCAGAAAAAAAAATACAAGTGCACCGAAACCAATGTCATGATTAAACGCCGCACTAACAGCAGAGCCCAGACTTGTTGCGCGGCGGTCTGACAGGATATTTTCATTTTTTAAATACATATTCAGATACATGTTAGTCGGGAGATAGTTTCTGATTGATCCTAGAAGCCGAGCAAAGCTAAAACACACAGTAACCGACACTTGGAAAATGATAGTCTAAAGTCAGCTACTTTTATGGATAAGGTGCCACTGTAGCATACTATTGGTAGCACTGTAACAGATTTAACGCGTTATCAAAACGTCGGTTACTGTGTTTTAGCTTGGGTAGGTTGTGTTTTTTTCTTACACGTTAGGAGACAACATAAGATGTCCGGACGAAACACATTAAAGAAATGCATTACCAACTGACTCGGCGAAAACGACGGCGGGCACCGATGCCGAAAAATAATAATAACAATTATATATATTTTTTTTTTTCGGGAAATTTCACTAGAAATTACACGCAACCGGATAGAAGGCGGCGATTGTTGAATCATCGGTTTTGAAGAACCGACGGGTTACGTAAGACGCTCGACGATTTCAATATATTATTATTATTATATTAATTCTTAGACAACGATTATTGTCATTGGCAAGAATTGGGGAGAGACTCGGATAATATAAGATTTGGTTGCGGACTCAAGGTTGCCAAGGACACAAAGACAAGGCCGAATGCTTCCTAACCGATATCCTGCGGTCGATCGATCGGTCCCAGATGAGACCGTTGGATAACACAATGTCTGCCGTGTGTAGATTAATGTAATATATTATTACTGTTATACACGATGATGACGATGACTAACCGACACCAGGTAGGTAGGCAAAACCGTATTGGCGACTTTCTCCGGGTTCGAAGACGACTCTCCCGCGCGGTCCGGCAATAAACCGTGCACGCGAATCCTATTCTTCGTCGAAGACCGCCGGCGGTGAACAGATATAATATTATGTACATCAAGAATAACCGAAAAAATAAATAAAATACCTTCTCAGCCAACGCATCGCAGCCGAAAAAAAAATACATCTACACCGGTTTCCGAAAGATCTTCGACGATAATACACTATGCAGGGCTCATCCCGAACCGTGCCCGTTATCTTCTGGTTCTACATTATATTATACACACATACTATTGTGATAGGCGTATCATGGTGTAGTAGCTCGCCATCTAAGATAATTTAGAAATCGGCTTAGGTCGGGTTAGGTATGCAAATCAACCGGCAACAATAAATTAGCAATGAACATTTTCGAATCGTCGACCGCGCTTAAGGTGCAAACTATTCTTTCATTTAGCTTATTTGCTCGAGGCCACAAATGCAAATGATTTAATTACATGATTTAATTTAAGCAAAAAGTCCTTATAATTTAGCCTTTGCTTTCATCGTATTATGAACTCGACCAAACTCTAACTATGTAAATCCTATAAAAACGCTCAAATAAACAATTTCACCTAGACTCGTTAAAAAAAAACAAGCTTTTTACGCAAAATTATTACAACCGCTAAACCCGTTTAGGCTCTTGTCGAGTAGTTTGCTGTTTGTAAACCTGATGAATCATTTAAAGCTTAAATACTAATCCAGTTCGTTGTGAAATTCAGAAACATAATATAAAAATAGCGTTTCGTTACAAAAATAATATCCAAATCGAGTATGTCACTTCACTTAAATGGCCAACGTTTGAAAACGTTATTCAAAACTTAAGTAACGAAATTTGAAAATGTACACCGATATTTTGTTATTGTGGCTTGTGCAGCAAAAATTGTTGGCCATCTACGCGACTGTGATGCACACCTTAAAGATGTCGGAGAGGCTGGAATTTCCACAACTGTTTGATTAGACTTGTCCAGAGATTGGCAACATAGTCATCCGGCCAAACGTGTGTCATACTATAACAGTATCTTTCTCGAAAACTGCCATTTCTTCACCTTGAACATGTCCTGTGCTTCTTGACTAAAACGGTCAATCTCTAACTGTCTTAGTTCCTTCTTGCTTTTATCGATCCATCTTTCTATCGGTCCTATTTGGCCCTTCTTATGTGACCAAGCCAACATAGTCTCTTGTATCAAATGTCAGCTATTATGTTTGGTTCTCTTTCATCTTTATGGGTTGTAAGTCCCGTTTCACACGCGTACATTATCGCTGGTCTTGCTAAATTCTCGATTAAGTCGATAGGGATTTAGATTACATTTATCCGGAGAGCGCGTTTTTCTACGTTTCCAGTTTCCTGCTGTAACGAATGATATTTTATAGATCACTGTGTGTATTGTATTGGTTATAACCCCTTCCTTTAACCGTCTGGACCGCGTAACGGTAACCGTCGTCGGATCCGCAACCATTCATATACGGGTCGTCTCTTCTTTTATGCCGTCAAGATCATTTTCTTTCGCATCGATACACACACATGTGGCGAAAGTAGTGTGCAGAAACGCGTTACGCAATGGATGTCAAATTGTATTATATTATTTTATTTATGTTACTTCTTCTCAATTTTGCACTCTCATCGGTCAGCGGGAATCGATCACCGCAGAGTGTTTTCCCTGTCACTGACGGACACCGAAAATAATAACTTGGAGCCACTTGGAATATGTGAAAACACCAGTTGAGTTGAAAACTAATCCAAAAATGTAACCAGTCAGGTTAAGTGCGATTTGTCAAGGCGTTAGATTTTGTAAAAAAATAATTCAACTCTTAATTTACAACACTTCCGGTGAATTCGGTATATATTTATGTGTTTGGTTTAAATAAAAAAAAAAACACGTTGGAAATCATTATCGGTATTATCTGATCGGCAACCGGTCTTAACCGAGTAGTCGAACAATGTGCAACTAATAAAAAGTAAAAAAAATATATTATATTGAAAGCTGGCGCCACAGGTTTGGCGGCGGCCTGAACAAGAAATAGCGGACAAATCACTTTCGTCGAAAACGCCTCGAAGCCGATATTTGTGGCTAACAGCTATGAATTATCATATTCATGCATTGATTTGTTGACAGCAATTTTTGTAACATGCAAAAATTAACGTCCAAAAACCGGCAAGGTATGGTATGGTCAGGGTTAGAAAGTTTGGGCTGCACCGAGACAGTGTGTAATATTCAAAGACATCAAAACGTTTTTAATGAGAAAAAGTCTACCGACAAGAATGTCCCGTGAACGGAGTTGGGCATTATTTAATAAAATATACAAGTATGAAATCTTTTAAGACGTTTTATTACCGCAGCCGGTATTAAAATCCAATGGAAAATTTGTTCTCAACTCTGACCGAGACAGAGATCCGGATCGATGGTGGACCCAGACACAAACAACGCTATAAAAACTAAACGAATAAATAAATTATTATGAAGGCATAACTTATTCGAAAAACCGTTTTCTCGGTACCAGAGACTGGAGCCAAATGCGTGTTCAAGAAAACAATAATTGTCCACGATTCGTTAACCGGCAATGATTTATATAATTGGCATAAACGGAAGAGCAATTGGCAAACAAATAATAATAATAATCTTATTATAGTTGTAATAAAACCGACGAAGCGAACACCGGCTGTTAGTATTATATTCTTGTTCTTTGGGTATATTGCTTTTTATTATTATTTATTTCTAAGAGTGAAAGGCATTTATGTTATGAGCTCTATTTTTTGTTTGCACAAAATACACTAAATAATAATAACAATAATTATCAACGATAACAATTTAATCTAAACGTTGAGGTATTTTTTTATAAACTAGTTGAAACCCTAACCTAACCCAACCAAACCTAACCTGACATATGGTTATGTCTACCACTATTGATGTATTTCACCCGGCCTAACCTAGTCGGACCTGACCTAACCTACCCCTTCGCCTTAAGCGCTATTTTTTTACTTAAACATTTCTTTTCTTTTACATCATTCGAAAGCGACAAAAACATATAAAAATTTAAACCCGTCACACCGGTACTTTTTTTATTTAGTCCAACTGTAGTAATGATATTATATTATATTATTATATAGTCTTCCATGCATTGAAGACCTCTCGGTTACTAGACGGTCGGTAACAACCGGATAATAATATAACAACAAAGAGAAGTTTGGTTAGTAAGTATGTATATATATATATATATATTATTAGCGTTGGTGGGTTAATATAGTTTTTTTTTTTTTAGTGTATAAGAGTATATATGTATAGTAAATTACAGAAGGTCGAAACGGTATGCAAGAGTCGTATAGTGTTATGAAGTCATCCGTTAGTATGTAGGTAATGTAAATTGATTATATTATTTTTAACATAATAGTGTTATTGTTAATACAGTGTGGATCATCTAACGGATTCGACCGGCATGACCCACACTGTCGCAGAGGGGTGAGTGTACAAAGCGTTAGACGATAGGACGATAATAGTATAATATAGTATTTTTGTTGCAAGGAGAAAATATTATTATAATGACGAGTCGTCGGTAGAGAGAGGTACATTGCGTGGGTTAAATGTAAAACTTGTGTGTGTATGTATATAATATATTTATTATAGTTTATACGCGCTCCGTCCGGCGAGAGAACGACGCTGCGCAGTGCAACGCCAAAACGCGTCGCTCCTGTCTGCGCAGGCGCATACGACTGGAACGCGTTTTGGTTTCTGCGCACTGCCCCGTTCTCCGGCTAGACAGAGTGCGTACGGACGGTATTTTTTTTTTTTTTGTTTTTTTTTTTTGGGACTTACTGGGATCGTTAGTCACTGGCCCGTAGTCGACCGGTACCGGCGACGCTCTGTTAACATTGATAGCGAAATTGTCGTTCGTCTTGCCGGAATTCCGGTCGCAACAGACGTACAGGAAGCCGCCGCAAGTGGTCTCTATGTACCCGGATGCCATCCAGCAACTGAGCAAGAACTCGCAGCTTCCTGTAGGGCACAACTTGTTGCGTTTGCTTTCGGTGCCGTCCAAGTCGGCCCATTCATCTGCGAACACACCATTCACACACCGTCTGTTCAGCATCATCATCATCATCATCATCAGTTCAGTTCGGTTAAGTTAAGTAAGTTTCACACCCCCCCCCCCCCCCGGGGCAAGGGAAACCATTCAAAGAGCCGTGTTAGGCCGATTAAAACCGATTCGCATTTCGTCGCTTAAGATGCCACACCTGATATCAAATCAAGTTGGCCACACTGTTTTGCGCGGTGTATCGACTGGTGGGCTCAGTATCGGGTAATCGGGTCATAAAGACAATCTTGTATTAATTAAGACCATCTTGGACAAAGAATACAACAAAACCGTACTGGAGTTTTCCCAAACAAATTTCACCTAACCTGGCTTGACGTCTCGTGTGACGTTTAAAAGAGATCAAGAACAACTGGACGGGTTACACAAACAGGTGGGCGGTTCGCTTGGACAAAAATTGATTTACTTCTGTTATGAGTCAAAAAGAATTAAGTAACCCAACTGTTTATATTAGGGACACAATAAAATAAAATTGCCCAACTGTTTGTAGTAAACATTAATAATAATTAAACGCTCGTTTGTCACTGGTAGATTCTCCCTTGATTTTTTTTATTATTTATTAATTTTGCTTTTTACCCCTAACTTCTAACCACAGACGACGTCCAAGACCGTCTTTAGGTCAGGACCTTTGCAGGGTAACCACAATTATTATTATTACTATCCCCTCATTCCCAATTCGAGGTCAAGTCGTATGTCAGTGTACAATTTTTTTTTTATCGTGTGTAAAATTTTTAATTTTTTATTGTTAAATGTAAGTTTATTTAGTGTACTATACTAGTGTTTGTCAGTCAACGGCGGCGAGGGTAGGTAATAAGTGCACATTATTGTAAACCTTAATAAGTCTGAAGTAGTGGCAGCGTAGGAGATGACCATCGTTTTGTATGGTCTAAATAACTAAGCAACGTTCACAGTAAAATTGTACCTTTACCTTATTTTGCCAATCAAGATAAGGATGGATTCCTTTTGGCACAACAAAAAAAAGGACAGTGGATACAATTACTAAAGAGGTCTCATAATTGAAATAAAATAGATGTTTTAAAAAGGTGCTGACAAGTTTTAACTTTTTTCAAAATAACTACTAAATTTAGCTAACATGACTAATTAAAAAAATATTCATTAGTCGGTTTCTAGCTATCATATTTATTTTTTGAAACTTTTTGATTAGTTTACAAACCAAAAAAATGTCAAGTTTATTTTCCGTATATAAAAAAAAAAGGTTCCGAATAAAAATATGTAAAATTGGTTATGATGCCATTACGTTTGTGATAAAAAAATAATAATATTATTGTAAAATGATTACCTCCTAAAGTTAAAAATTATCTAATCAAAAATATGTATCTTCTAAACTAGAAAAAAAACCCAGCTTAGTATTGAAACCACTTAAGACTTAGCCCCTCAAAACGTTCTCAGCCTTGCATATTATATTTCAGGAAATCTTATGATGAAAAATAAAACATTTACAAATTTGTCGACTACTCGAGTTGTGTGTATTTATTTTTGTTTTTTTTTTTGTCAAAGTTCTGTTTTGGTGGAAAAACCGTGACGTCAGTCGATTACAAAACGCTTAGACGTTCTGCTGGCCTAAGTATATAATATTGCCTCATTTTTCGGTCTGGAGAAATGGTTTGAAAACAGTCCAAGACAGAGTGATTTATCTGCGTCTCGCACGACAGCCGAGCAACGGTCGGTGACACGACAAATACCACTGATTCCCTTGTCTCCCAAGTCGTCCAGGTCTTTCTGACCCTTCCCGGCCTATCCTTTGTGTGCACATGTGGTACACGACACACACACACACACGAGGGGAGCATAACAATATTACTAATCTTGTTGTTATTATTATTCTTGGTCCAAAGGTGTGTGTGTGTGTAATCATAGAGTGCACGCTGCGGGACGACCGTCGCGTTGACAAAAGGATTTTTTTAAGTGTTTTTTGGAATTCCAAGGTCACTGTACTACCCATTCACCTGTTTGGGGTCAAAAATCCCGTCTACGTGCCGTCCTAATCACACACGAGGGAGTTTATTTTTTTTATTATTCTGTTTTGTTTAACAAAAAAAAAAAAAAAAACCTTTGGCCGCCCGAAGGTCTGTTACCCCGAGTGGAGCACAGCCGTTGTTTCCAATGCCCGGTTTTTTTTTTTTTACATATTATAACACAACACGGGAGGTTCGAAAACCACCCCAACCCGTTTGTGGATGTACCCAAACGCACACGTGTGTAATTACACCGCGATGATGTGTATCAACACTGGCCGAGAGATAATAGAGATTTACACCGACTACAACACTAATAACAATAATAACGACAACAATGAGAGATCGTTAAACGATACGTGTTGCACCGGCCAGACACAATGACTTAACTCGGCCAAACGGTCTACATGAATTTCCAACGAAATAACACAATACATAGAGACGTGCATAATATACAGTGACAAGAGGAGACAACGCCATATGAGTGTAAGAAATTGAATTTAAAAGAGCCGGACGAACGGTTTGACAGTTAAGGTTGTGAGTTCTAAAGAAAAGTTACCCCGAGTCCGGTTAATACCAGTCGGCGGTTAACGGATGTGGTCAAGTCGACGGTCAAGTCGATGGTGTTATCGAAACTGAAAAAATATATGTCAATAAGCTAAGCCAAGAAGAAGAATTTTGAGCTTTTAAAACTGCTTTTCACCAGAATTGGATAACACGAGGCCCGAGGGAGTATGTCGAAGACATATTTTAAAGCATTTTGTTGTTTGAAAAAAAAAAAATATATATTTTATTTTAATACAGCGAACAAATTTGAACTATTATTCTGATAGTTTTGTTATGTCTTTGGACCGTTTTGTAATCTCATATTTAAACGTCAATGGATTAAAACTACTGAAAATACGAGCCCATATACCTCAGAGATAAGACCGACTTTGATGTTTTGTCAAACCACTTACCACCCTGAACAAACCTGACCAAACCTAACCTAACCAAACCAAACCAGACCTAACCAAACCTAACCAAACCTAACCTAACCTAACCAAACCTAACCAAACTTAACCAAACCTAACCAAACCTGACCAAACCTAACCTAACCAAACCTAACACCACCTGAACAGATGTAAGTTAACCTCCCCGAAACCAACATAAACTAACCTACAGTAATATCAGCTTTTGTTAAACCTAACTTAACTATATTATTTTCATTCGAAACCTCTCCAAAGTGCACAATAACATGATATTGTCTGTTGCGTTTTATTGGATTTAGTCAAAACACCATTTCGCTTCGATCCTCTAAGCCGTTTTCCTAATCTAAACTAAGCTATCCGGTACGGTTAAACTCAAAGCCCGGACATGACTAACAACAACGACAGATGTACAATAAACGAAAACGCATTTTTTTTTTTTTTAAAACTCGAGGTCGCATAAACAAACAAAATTTGCCTCTTCAAATCGACGGACTCGAAATGAGAACAGTAATAACTTATTAGACTTATCCCAGACCAACTAGGTTTTTTTGAACTTAACCGCGTTTATGCTGATGACAAACCAAACATACGACTGAACCTGACACCAGCGAAAAGGCGAGCGGCAGTGTGACCACAACGGAGAAATTAAATTTCTCCAGTACCGTGTGATGGAAAACTTATTTTGCCATATCAGTTTATCATATCATGTTGTCCTATGCAATTTAAAATGCATGTACTCATCTGTTTTGTACTGTGGTCACACTGTCGATCGCCTTGTTGATTACTACTATGATGTGAGGCGCTCAGATGCCAAACCGATAAACTCCATTATTTTTTTTTCAAATTGCCAATAATAGCACACGGTTGGATTACAAAAGTGTACAATTTTCAGCGGCCATGATAAATAAAATTCCATTGTTAAATTTTTCACCGCTAGAGTGCGCCAAGTACATTGGCAAAATTGTACTTACATACATTGTTTCAAATAACTTGAACTGCATGCGTCCAGGACATTTTTTCATTTTATCGAGTTAATCAATTTGGCTTCTGAGCGCCTCGTGTGTTACTTGCGATATTAATGTATAAGGAATATTATATGGTTTTTGTGTGTTAATTTTTTTTTATTATTAAAGTGTAACAGCAGAGATCCTCGACCGCGGTCCGAACGGGACAGCAATATCCGCGGTCGTGAATGCTCGGCTTTGGTCGGGCACCGTCGCCGGCAATCGTGGCGCATAAACGGTTTTTTATGTATATATATTTTTTTCTAAACGGAGAAGCGAAAGCGAAAACGGGAAATCGACCGTGCGCGCCAATTTAGGTATTCTTTTTTTATTTTTTTTTCCCCATACCTTGTATACAACTGTTGTGTATAAAATACATATATTATTATCATGGTACAATCCACCACGTGTTGGGTTCACAATACTCGTTTATCGATTAAACAACAACAATAATAATAATAATAATTGAAAAGTAAACAACCATTTTATTATTAAATTGTTGTGTAATAAAAAAAAAAAAATTGTAAAAATAAACGCCAAGAAATCCGACCAACAACGGGATAAACCGGTAAAACGTACCAGTATGTATATAATTGATCATGTTATTAGGTAATGCACTCGGACGAGTTTCACCGAATAGTCAAATGCAATCGCGTTGAGTGGAGTCAAAAAGTAGTCTTTAAATATTGTGTACTGTCAACAATACACTTAAAATGGCGGCTGGAAGAAAAACTCTAAATTTTGTTTTTTTTTTGCGAGGAATTCCCATTGTGATTTTAATGTAATATTTGTGTTCAATGGAAATTTTTGTCAAGAACCAATACATTTCATGTCGCAGAATCACTCAGGTCTAAGATATTACCCGAAATAAAAAATAAATTATCTAACTATCAAAGAAACGCGTTGCAAGTTTTTTCCCGCCGTCATTTAAAATTAACCGGATACATTTTGGTCTGAAAGACTATTTATTGTGCAAAATATACAATAAATATTTCAAAACAAAACATGTGTTGGATATTTTCGAGTTTTAAGCAGCGTACATTTTTTTGGGGTAAATATTTAAACGTCCACACCGAAAGTGCATTGCAAAAAGTTTCAGAAAATGCATATCATAACCCGAGGTTTGTGTTTCTTTAGAACCAATTTTTTTTTTAATAAAAAACCTTACCCTATTGACTTTTTTTGAAGTATGCATAAACTTAATAAAACGTATATTTTTAAAGAAAAAAACCGCGTTGGACTTTTTTTTTGTAAACTCTTCTTATTTGACTCCACTATGTTAGTATTCTTTTGGTTTTTATTAAAAAGGCGGGAAAATTGGGTTTTTACTTATTTTTCCATGAGAATGTCCGCTTACCTTTGATGCCGTCGTCGGCCGGCGATACCAGTAAGTCTTGGAGTCCGTTGGGTCCACCGCCGCCGTTGCCGTACGGCGCTTGCAGGGTGCCGGTGTCCACGGGATCCCGAAACACGAGCCTGGGACTCCTAGGACCCATGGCCGGCACGGGAGCGACGGGATGATGGTAAGCGTACGGCGACTGGGGGCCGGGCCCGATAACCGGCGGTCCGGACGGCGCCCATCCGTTGTACGAGGGTGCCGGTTGCGGGGGCGGCGGGGCGTCGTGCGTGGGCGGAAACCTCAAGTACCGGCGCCGGAAGTCGGCGTTCCGGTCCCACGCGGTCACACCCATGTGGTACTGCGACGGGTCGGGCTGCCCGTAGTACCGGTACCGGTGACGGCGCCGGTAAGCTGCGGCGGCGGCGGCCATGTCGGCCTGGTGGTACGCCCGGGCGGACGGCGACGGGAACGCGACGGAAGTGGACCGCCGGAACCGCTTCAGCCGGTAGGCGTGCAACTTACCGCCGGCCGCGTACGCCTTGAGTACCGCGAACTTGGACTTGGACGACGGCCGGTCGTGGTTGCGCTTGTTCCGGGTCTTGGACGCGCCGCCGCAGTTCTTGCACGTGGCGGGCACCGGTGGCGGCGACAGCACGCTGGACGTGTAATTGCCGCCGGCGACGGCCGTCGACTCGGCCGCCGTCATGTTCCACAGCGGGTTGTCCACGTACTGCCAGTCTTCCACGTGCTCGTCGAACTTGCTCGGTTTGCCGACGTACGTTTCGTTGGCGGCCGACAGCGCGTAGTCCGCGTCCGTCGTCCACAACGTCACGGCGGCCGACGACGAGGTTTCGGTGATGGCCACGATGGCGGTGGACGCGACGGTCGTCGTAGTGGACGCCGTGGTGGTGGTGGTGGTCGTCGTCGTGGTCGTATCGTTGGACGCTTCCTCAGACCCGGCACAATCGTGGACCGACATGGCCAACATCAACACCAACACCGGCAACCATCTGCAAAACCAACAGAGGCCAATATAATATTGCATAGTTCATTTCTTTTTTTGAGTTTAAGTTAGTAAAATTTTAGCGGTAACGAACAAGATTAAGACGATGCTGTTCGTCCGGGGGGAACAGGATTCGACCTAATACGTTATAATAATATAGTCTCATTAGCCTCGCTTAGAGGAGAGCGGCAAACATTGATTAATTGCTTTCATTTGTCGAAAACCTATTCCTGCATTTCTTCTACAGACAACACAAGCGCATGTCGTCCACAGGTGTGAATTCTTCGCCTTTATGTGTTCGACACTGAAAGATGAGGTCGGATGCGCGCGATTTCTCTCGTGTGATGTTATTAATTGACATTTTCTCGACACTAATAAATAACAGCCGAATATTGCCGTCGAAACGCGCTCATTAAAAAATTAAGGTTTGTTTATGCAATAACTTGTTTTAAACGGTTACAATCAACCCGATTGCGATGTCGTTTGTCGTTGTTTCAATGAATATTGCCAACAAGATTAGGGTTGAGTGAAAAACGGATGTATTATTCAAAGGAAAAAAAAAAATAGACTCCTCGTCGAGGCGCTGTTGGATCCAATCGGTTACCTACTTAATATAATAGTAATATGATTTGTATTATTGAAAAAAATAATATATTATACATAGTAATTAACGTTGCCGCTGCGCGTTTCTTTAAGACTTTGTCGACGACAACGCAGCAGGTGGAAAACTGTAAGTAATTTTTTTTGCCATCCGAACCGTTACGATTTTATATTATGAAAACCAAAGAGGAAACCGCTACCTGTCGCCGCCGCTGCTGTTGTTACTACTACTATTGTGTGTGTGTGTGTGTGTGTGTACTATTGTAGGTTTTCTCCGGGCGAATTACTTTCGAACAGGGGAATTACCATCCGCATAATAAGATTATGGAAAAAAAACACACACACGCAGTGATCAGACCGGTAAAAAAAAAAAATTCACAATAAAAAACGACCCGCAAGAAAACGGTAAGCAACGGAATGATGATGAAATACTTGAACTTGTAAGAGTCCTTCAATCAAGTCGAACGGCACAACCGATTGAGCAAGCCAAGTACAACCGAACGCTACCTTATCTCCAGCCCATCCCGACCTAACCCAATAAGACACTGAAAAACGGATAGGATTCGGTTGTTTTATAACTGTGGTAAATTTTTTTTTTTACTCTAAATTTTCACAATTGGAGATTGCAGTGTGTGTGTGTGTGTGGGTTGTTCTGCGACGGATTTTCTATTTCCTCGGCGGGCCAGAGAAAGTAATCCGCCGCGTGCGCCTTTTTATAAGGAAACGAGGAAATAAAACGTGAACGGGCCATAAAAACGTCCGGTCGAAACGTTTTTTTACAACTGTAATATTATTATTATATTATATTATATTATGCTCAGAAATAATATAGAATAATAATGTATAATAGAATAGAATATCTGGGCGAAAAACAATATGAACCGACACCGGCTGGCCGGGTTAAGTGTTGTGTACGAGATGCAAAAACCCGTTGCCAAAATACTCGAGAACCTAACCCGATGGGAAACCATCAATTTCAAAAAAATCTAATCAAAATTTTTTGGATTCGCGTTTTGTCGCGCAGTACTTAAAATAAAATATATATTAAAAAAATGTATCAAAATATGACTTTTAAAATTAAAACTATTCAAATTATTGAAATTCATCATTTTATTTGTCAAACAACTTTTCTACCAATTTTTTATTTATTCTTAAAAATAGTCTTGGGTTACCGACGGTCAAACAAGCAGCTGTAATATATTTCCAATCGGTTGATCAAGTGATGTTTCGTTATCTTATTAATCCTCAATAGTAAAAAAAATATATTAAAACACAACAAAGACAGTTTTGATATTAAAAACGCCTAACTTTAAACTCTTGTTCGTAATTTGGTGTAATCACACAAATAAAATAATTAAAAAAAAAAACTATTTAAATAAAAACCATGCTAAAGTAGTTTTAATTGTTTTTTTTAGTTGAAAATCAATGCCAATTAATTTATACTAAAAAAGTAGTTGTACCTCCAGTTTGTCGAATCATCGACATTCTTAGTTTTTCTTAAACGGGTTGTCTCGAGAGGACGGTTTGGGTGGTTTTTCACTGTTTTAGTAGGTACTTTTTCCATTTTTTCGAGGGGGGGGGGGTAAGGGTGGAGTTAAGGTTTTTTTTGGCAATTTTTATTTTACAATATTAATGTACCTGGGTCGATGGCGGCACGTCGGCAGCATGGTCGGACGAGGGTGTGTTTTGACGAGCGCTGAGTCCGCACCTGAACTTCGCCGCGGTAAGTAAGTAAAACCCTTCGGGTAAGTAAGCAAGCAACCCTCGGCCGGGTCGAACAATAATAGTGATAATAATAATAATAATTAAAACACTACAATAATCGTGTGCGGCGTCAAAGCGACAACGGCGGCGTCGCGGTGGTGACGGGCGAAGCACTGTTGCGGGCCAGCATCGCGGCGCGGGCGGTCGGATCGGACTGGACTCTCTCGGGGACGGAATCCGTCGACGGAACAACAACAACACGACAACAACAACGCCGCAAGAATAACAACAACGGGCCGCGGCTGCGGCTGCGGCGGATCTCCCACTACCGGCCGTCGACGATGATGACGGTGGTGTTTACCGGCGGCGGGACCGGTGTCCCCGGCGCGGCCGGCCGCGCGTCCGTTTCCGAGTCGGTTTAGCCGGGCGCGGAGAGAGAGAGAGAGAGAGAGAGAGAGAACGTGCGGCGCGCACACACGCGCGTAGCGACAAAGGTGAAAACCACTTTCGTTTGTTACGACGAACAGAGAACGAAGAACGGCGCGCAGCTTTCTTTTGCAAGGTCACACCGGCTACAAGGACCGGCATTGAAAAACCGTACTCGCGGCCGCCCACCGCCCCCGCCCGCCTTGAGTGCCGCGGCGGCTGCGGCGCTTACCTCCGCGGGTACTCTTCGGCCGCCGCCGCCGCCGCCGGGCGGTTACGAAACACTCTGTACACGCGATGATCGCCTTCCTTTTTTTTTTTTTTTTTCTCCGCAAACACTTTCACTGTGGAATAAACGCGCGACGATAAAGATAAATCGCGTGTAATAACATATAACGTTATTATCTACACCGACGTTGTACCTATACACATATAGATGGTACAGAGTACTTAATGTAATTACACATTGGTGCACGCACGCCAACGCGACTGATCCGTACTTATGTACGGGTACGTCTCGACGTACAACGTGAAATCCATGTAATAACGTATTGGATATTTTTGTTTCTTTTTGCTATAACGTATTGTTGTTATTAAAAACATATTTAATTGGCAAACGTAACGTATTGAACTTAATTAAAAATTTAAAAATAAATATATATATATATTGTTTTATACGTATAACGTCATAACAATAATACATAACATTGTTGTTATTGTTGTAAATGCTAGTTAACGTTGTTAACTAGCATTTACAGTTTAAAATATAATAGTTAGTAACTAATTTAAATTAAATAATATAATAAGTATAAATATAACACAATTTAAGTATACTAATAAATAATGAAATTCACAATATAATGATAAATAAAATACAAAAAGATCACACTATTTCAATGTAATTGCAATTGTATGTTATCTAATTTACAAATCGAGTAGTCCATAAAAAAAAATTATTTAAAAAACTTGTATATTTAGGTAGGTAATTAAAAACTATTTTTTTATTACTCATATTAAATTCTTGTGATTTTTTTATGCAATATCGCCTTCGTCAGTATGAATTTGAAATATATTGTAGTTGAAAACTGTAAGAGAGTTTAAAAATTAAATTAACCCGTTGTATTGATTTATAGAGTTGGGCGAAATCAAACAAATTAAATAACGAACAACAAATCAAGTCCAATCGAATAAGTAGTATCGCGTAGCAATTGAAATAAAATAATAATAATTCGGTTAAATAAATTACCAATAAAAAAAATATTCGAACGACTAAAATAATATAATCAACTAATTATTATCTATTTTGTTTATTTTTTTAGAGATGTTATTACGGTAACAACATGATTACTTTTCATTTGGACGACATTTAACGACAAACAAAAATGGTTTTTAATAAGAAAATAAAGTAAATATGAATATAAGTATAAAATGAAAGAACATTTATTTTAAACTCTAAATACAAATTAATTTACCTATTTCAATAATGCCGTATCAGAACGTTTATTCATGTGTTTTATAATGCAAAATTTAGTTTGTATAATATATTGATTGAAGCAATGAAATGTTGAGAAAACAACTCATATTAGCCGGCATAAAGTCGGTAAAAACATAAAAATACGGTCTCTAGCTGTTATTAGTCAGATAAACGTGTAGTAACTTTCATGTAACTTGGTTAAAAAACTTGTTTTGTTTTTTTTGAAACGGTTTAATTTAAAATTTAAATGTTTATCCAAACGCATGCATACTGCAACTGTTTTTTTTTTTAAATGTTTTAATTTTTCCCCATTGTTTGACCTAATATTTTCTCCAAGAACCGAAAACTCGAACTTGAAAAAAACCTTAGTTAATTTTGAAATTTACTATTTTTTGGATAACTATTGTCAAACAGTTGTACTTGACATGATAAATTTCCAACAAATACAAAATAAACTTGTTTCTGTTGTCAAATGGTATTTACATAAAAATTATTTATTGCGCATACAGGGGCGATACATTAAGGATAAGACACTCACTTTCTCTTAAGATAATCGCAGTTTTGTAGTTTTTCTTTTTTTTGGAAGACACTTGAGATTATGTTACTTTACAATATTAGTGAGTATTCAAATTTTTGCCAATACTCTTTCAACTTTTAAAAAACCTGTTTAGGCTAACGTTTTTATTTAAATACATTTTTATAATTACAACAATTGTCTACACTCCACTTTTTTTCCCATCCTAAATTCTAAATTTTAAATGAACATCTTCAAAACCGGTCAACGACGAGACAAAAGTTGCAACAAATTATTTACAATTTAAATTGTCATCAAAAACCATATACTTTGCCGTTTAAGTTTAAAAAGTTGATAGCGCTCTTGAATGTATTAAAATAGGTAAATATTAGAGACATTTTTTTAGTATCGTGAGATAACATTGACAACAATTTTTATCAAAAAGAAAAACTACAAAAATTTCAATTATTTTATTATAAAATAAGCCTCAATGCCTTAACGAATCACAGTGTTTAATGTCACTTTAACTGATTATAATATGTCTGTGTTTTTTTCAGGCTGCGTTTATTAAAAAGCAATTAGCTGGTTCCGTTCAAAGTATGTTCCGATTGACCGCACACTCATTTTCTTAGTTGTAATTAATTTTTTTTTAAGTACTGAGAAAAAATCGTCTTGCTTTTATATGGTCATAAATATCGGACAGTAATTTTGAAGTAATAAACAAAACAAAATAAACAAAAACCATTATTCCCTAATTTTTTACAGTACTTTCAGTTTTCTTAAGTCGATATTGAAAAATATGCTAAAAAATGTCCTCATAAAACATGTTATTCGTAATAATATATTATATTTAATCGATAATAGTTCCTGGACAGTCTCCGTCGTACTTAAAAATTTGAGCTAAAGCAGAAAGGGTTTCTGAATTCAGTGCAATTCCGGCTTGGAAATCCCAATAACTTTGAGCTTTGGTTTTTTATTGAGAATATAATATGAGCAAATTATTAAAATCTTGTTGCTAATTTTTAAGAAACCTATGCTTTGAAGTATTGAATATAACATTATAAACGGGCTGGCGGCATTTAGTAAGTGTAATCTTACAATAGGTCATTGTCGAGGCAAAAATGAACGAACCCCTTTGAGAAACACCAGAACTAGTCTCGATTTCAAATGGAGAAACATTGTTAACCGTCGCCCATCGGGTGGCTATGCCGGGATATTAAAAGCCCGGCAATTCCTTAAAATGTCTTGATTCAATCAAAACGACGTTATGGTTAACGCTGCCAAACTTGCATCAGCCGTTTACTTACTCTGATCGACTCGGCTTGGGCGATTTATTGTGGCTTGAGTTGGTTATTTGGTTTTTCTCCTGCTACGCCGACGTTGTTGTTGCTTTTGCCCAGACTTGTGTAGACCACCGGTAGAAAGTTTTGCACGCGCCCACGCAATCTCTCGGTACGACGCCAACACACAAACAATATATAATATTATAATAATATTCATGTCTATCCATTCCGTCCCCGAAACGACGATGTGTAGGTATGTTCCGGTCTGTAGGTATATATAGACACGGTCCGGTCAGAGTCGAGGTTCAACGAAAAGCTGAAAACGTTTACATTTTTCCTGACCGGCTGTCGGTTTTTTTGAATTTTCAACAAGTCACGCATTCCCAAGCCACTGTGCTATCACAATCATTATAGGTATCAACCAGTTAAAACCGGGAAAAAAGGGAGGAAATTACACCTTGACCTAACACTCCTAGGTCGGTGTATAATATGATTGAATCGGTTCAAGAGTCCACACGTGTCTGACTATAATAGACAGAAGATCAGCCCTAATGTAATGTTTTGTAATAGTATCCTAAATGCTTCGAATGAGTTGTTTGAGATTTGCAGCTCGGTTCTGAGATCTGACAGTGGTTGCTTTGTTGTGAGGTATTTTGCCACAAGTTTTGCATGTTTCAGAAACCGTTTTCTTCGTTGATCGGTGAACAATTATAACCTAATCGTTTCGATTTCACGATATAAAATTAGATCAACGCCGAGTGTTGTGTTTGATTTCTCTCAATTTGTTTTCAGCTGATCTCTATCCGTTATTAATTGTATTGATTAAATACAGTATAACTGTTTATTTTACGCTGTAATGTGCCGGGAAGTGTTTTAATCGTTGTGTTCACCGAATAGCCGATTTTATTCAAATCACAAGAATCGGGTTCCTTAATGTTTAAGACGAGACAACTTTGAAATCTAATAGAAACCCGCGAATGTCAAGTAAATTAATTTAATTCATGATATAATCAAAATGCATAATACAATATGTTATAAATATCATTAAATTTAAGAAAACGTGGTCCGGAATAAATTAGATGACTAGGTGAGAAATGGAAATTAAGGAGAAGACAAAAATATCAAATGTAGAATAGTCAAGAGCCGCTGGTAGCCAAAGGGGAGGTTGCAAAGGGTTTTAATTAAGATATAAGAAACACGAGGGAGAGAAATTGAGGAAGAGAGACATATTTTATTAAAACCAGCCTAAACCCAACTCCCCTATCGCAACTCTATGGATTCTTTTTCAACTGTTATTACTTCCAATACATAAAACATAAGGTCGAGTTTGACTTGTTATGCAACTCTTTTATTATACTCCACAAATGTATAGACCGGAAATCTTAAAGCTAAAAGCAAATAAGTAACCCTTTCTCCCAGGGAAAGTAGACCCTTTCCTTTTATATGTGTTTTGTTATGAAATTTAACGTTTGTTTGGTAAAAAAAATACAAAATTGTATAATTTATTTAAAAAAAAATGTAGCTAAAGCCTTAGGCCGTGCTGTTATATTGTAAAGTATTGCCCACAAAGCAAATAAATTTCAAACATGACCAATAACTAT